TGACCAACAATGTGTGCATAGACTGTGGGCTGCCAAATCTTGAATGGTGTGGGCACAATAAGCCCTAATCCCCATCTCAGATATCACACACACTCTCATTTATCCACTCATGCAGAGGGGCAAAACATTCTCATTTATTAAACCATAATTTATAGCTTTAAGTGATGTGCAAATGCAGCCACCATGAAGTGAAGAAAACTATCTTTTTTCAGATCATGAGCTCACAAGTATTACAATACAGGCCAGGTGGCCATGCTGTGTGTTTCCAGCTGGCACTAGCTTACAAGAAAGAGCTGGCAATATTTCAGCAAGATCTATGCCTGCCGCTGCAGTAGAGCCCAAGATGTTTGAAGGCTGGAATCCAACATCAAAACTTGAGCTCATGTTCAGTATTCCTTGTGCCACAGTCCAAATTTGCAGTGTGATTCTGCTTTGCACGACATTTAGGTTAAGGCTGCAGGTTGTGGCATTAATTTTACCCCTTTACAATAGCCTCCCATCACTTCCATCCTTGATGGAGTAGAACAGCTGCAGGTTCTTCTATACCATCCTTCATGCAGCTGGCTGCTTATCAAAATGCCTGCAGCCCTCCTCTCTTTTCAGGGCTGTGTGGAAGAGGGTGGGCGGCTGTTTTGCTTGGAAGCTGCCCGCATGTCTGGCTTGGCAATGCTGGAGTGATCTCATTGAGGCTTGCCCAGCAACAGATACCACTGTGCAGTACAGTGTGCTGAAGACACCCTTATGGGAGAAAGGAGGGCATCTTCGTTCCTAGATCTTCTGTTGGCAGAGTGGCCAGGTTGGTTACTCGCCCTTCAACTTTGCAAAAGGAGATGAAAAAGCCAGAGAAAGGGAACTGGAGAGTATTTGATAAATCCCTGGAAAGAACAGCAACAAGCACAGGCAAGAACCAAGCTTGGTCAAGAGCAAATTAAGCCTCCTTGTTTCCTGCATCCCTGAAATCCCATGGAGTTATCATTTGAGCTGGTGCAATGCAGTGGCTGGTAGCTGCAGCATCTCGCCTTCCATGCCTGTGAATCTCACCTTGGCCACAACAAGCTCCCTAATGGGCCTTTGGCGAGCCAGCATCCTTCTCATCTGCTCCTCCCGTATTGTGTCCGGCATGGACACAATACTGCCCTATTTTATAGGACTGCTGTAGGAGTGAATGAGCTAATGCATCTGAAGTGCTTCGAGCACTCCAAAGGGGCTCTCTGTAAGCGCCTATATCATTATCATCAACAGCATGTCATTGTTGCACAAGACAGCCCTGCCTAGATCTCCTTAGAAGAAAAGCGGATTAGTCTATATGCCAAATATCAGGCAGAACAACAAAAGCTGTAAAGCAGGGAGTGACAACAGAGGCCAATCATGGGCTAATCCCTGGTACAGCAGGCAGCCACCCCATCCATCTCATTATGCACGTATTCACACATTCATCACAGCATATTTTATCACTTAAATTTGAGCCAGTGTGAATGACTGCCACTTAAAAGTATTTGAGATGTCTCATGGTTTTGTCTGTGGCATTTGTTCTGTGGTGGGCAGTTTGTTTGTTTTTATTACTGATTTTTATTGTAATATTTCAACAAAGCTATGAGAAAAACAGCTACATAGATTTGAATATCTGTTTCAGTAGGTGCACATGGTTTTTGAGTGTGGAGAGGGAGGGAGAAAGAGAGAAGCTGGCCTTGTGCCGCCTTCTTTACCACAGGTGGCATGCCAGCATGTACCAGTTGCTGCCAGGGACATGATGGGTCTTGCACCCATCCTGCTGGAGGGCTCCTGTGGGCAGCTGGTTTGCCACCGTCTGTACAGAGTGCTGGACTAGATGGACTTTTGGTCTGATCCAGCATGGCTTCTCTTATGTTCTCATGAAAATACAGCTTTCTACATTGTGACAAAGGTTGACCAAGTATCCATATATGTCTCTATTGACAGGGGGCAAATATCACCCACGCAAATGCTGAAGGGACCTGTGAAGGCTTCGTGGAACATGGGAGTCACCACTAGTGGGAACATTCTCCCTTAGACATGATTGATACTCCTAGGGGTATGGACAAGTAGGGCAGCACACAAGATTATTTGTGACTTCAGCGTCCGTGCTTTTGGAACATTTGAGAGGGCGATCACAACTCACAGAGGGATGTTAGCTGCATGAGCACAGAAACCATTGGCTTCCTTACCTTCCTTGATGATGATCAGTGTGAGTACGCAACATGTTTAACAAAGCCATTATAATATTATTATTTGATCTTGGGTCTCAGAGTTCTCTGATGGGTCTCAAAATGAATATTCCCTGCATGCGATTACCCTGATGCTATTTTTAAATAAACTGTGATCCGTAGTCCATGATGAGCATCAGGAGCTTTTCCCAGTGCTTCACCGCTCTCACTCAGGACTTCAGTGAAAACAATGGAACCTTTGATGAGGCATGAATGAGGAGCTTCTGGCTCATACTAAATCTTGTGTTAACTCAAAGCCAAAGGATATTTGACACTTTGACTGGAGGAAACATTTATTCATTTATTTATTTAGAGCAATGTTTGTTTGTTATTATTTCAGATTCATTTATTTCCTAGGAAAATGATTAGCCAAAAGCCACAGGTGGTATTGCAAAACCAAGTAACCCCCTCCCCCACAAAAATTAGTATTTCTAACTCATGTGAAAAATGTTATGTAGACTGGAACTCCTAAACTAACCACTGAGAAGGGTGCATTGGATCCAGACACTGTCATCTTTAAAGCAGATCCACTGAAATTAGTGGAACTTAAATTGTTCATGACCTGTGTAAATCCCAGTAATTTCACTGGGTCTACTCTAAGAACGTCTTCAACTAGCTCTAACTCAGTGGCAAGGCATTGCATTTTATGTATGTTCAACTTGTGACAACAGTGAGGTGGAGATGCATGACTTGATCCTCATCTCACATATCAGCTAAGCTGTCTTTTTATGTCTTAGCTGGATCCAACTATAATTGAGCTGATTCTCTTGGAGATTCACATTTGCACTATGAGTTCTATCATTTCTTCTTTCTTGCAATCAAAGGCCACTTAGTACCTTAGCTGAAGGATACTTAGGAATGATACATTGCATGAGAAACAAGGTCGGGCCAGTTTAGGTAAGGTCAATGCAGGTAACAGCTTTTAGGGGGGAAAATCTGTCAAAATATGTGAAAGAAGGAGAAGGAGAAGATATCACTGAAAGCAGCTGCCTACTCATGTCCTGGCCACAAAAATCAAGACTGTGGGGTTCCACATTCCTGTACATATCCTTGTTCTTTGGTGTTGGTGGATGAAGGATGCCCCCAAGGGCATCAGGATAGTTTCATGCAATTACAGCAGTAAGGTTATCAATGATAATAGGCAAGCAATCTTATGGGACCCCAGAAAGCATTGGAATGGCTGTAGGATGCTGAGGATGTCCCTGTCCAAGGCTGTAGACGGAGCTGTGACCTCCAATGGGGAGATCCAAGCATGTGGCTTCCTCTCCTGAGCACCAGCCTCAGGAAGAGGAAGAACCAGGTGTGCCAGCAAGCAGAGAGGGGGGAGTCCACAAATCCCCCAGATCCAAAGGCCTCCCTGCAGCAAGGTGAGCAAGTGAGATAGACTTCGTGGCCCATCTAGTTCAAAATACATTCTGGAGGAGAAGAAAAGCTATAAAAGCCCGTACCTCTCCTGTCTCCTACCATGCATTTGCTGAGCTGGCTTAGTATCCTTGAAACTCTCCAACAATGGAGTACGCCCTCTTGATTGCTCTCTGATTGTGTAAAAATGCACACAAATTTGCACATAAATATATTGGTGTGCTGCCAAACCTTGAAATTGGTCAATGTATAAATTGAATTGACCATGTTCATAAGTCTCAAATGCATAGAGAGCCCCGACTTCCATCCAATGTTCTTCAATATTTTTGTCATTTGGATGTTGGTTATGAATACATTTATATTCTTTGCACTTGTGACAGGCATGGCTAAGCTGGCAAACTCCATCAACTTTGGGCACGCTCGTTTGTTTGTTGCCGTTTGGTTTCCTAAAACCTCATAATAACATAGAACTTTCATATGAATGCAGGCTACTGTATTTGTAATCAGAGAGACAATTACAAATTGTTACAGGGTCAGCTCACTCATCTCTAGTGACAAGTGCGCTGTTTGCGCTCTAGCAAATACTGCAGGGATCTGATGGGACACAGAAAAGAACTCTGATTCAAAGGTATGTGTAATAGAAGCATCTGTTTATAAAGGATTGCATTTGTGTCCTTGTCCTGTGCATAGGCCCCCCATGTATACATTTGTAGATTGCTTAAAACCGAGTCTGTGCGGCATCCGGCCCTCCGTGCACCACACCGTCCCTGTGCAGCAGCTTGCCACATGAGTTGGAAACCAACGTGTGGTTTCCTCCATGCTGTGACATAAGCACCGTCAGGAATATCATGTGGCCTTGTGGGAAATAACACACATGTTACCACGAATCTGCTTGGCTGGCCACTGTAGACAAACAGTTTATTGCATGAGGCAGATGGAGATGCAGTTTCTGGCCACCATTGCAGTTTGTTTTCTGACAGCGCAGAGCTCGTGAGCTTAGGGGTGGAGGGAGACACAGACCTAAGGAAATTAAAACATTTCTTCTCTCGTGACGGGTCAAGCTCACCTTCCCCACCCACATCCTTTCCCCTGACCTGGACTGGTAGCTCAAAAATGGCCATGAGTTGAGTTTGAAGAAGGAACAGCTGCTGGGGCCCTTTTGCTGTCTCAGGAAATCTGACAGTCCTGGGAGCCAGGCTGGTGGCTAATTATAAACTCCCTCTTGGTGTATTTGTGTCTGCGGGAGAGCAGTTTTCAGCCCCACAGCCTGCACTGCACTAGGAAGTTTGCCTCAGCCAACGTGAGATCCAAAGGGGGCTTCAGCCACCCCGGTGCTGGGGAAAGCGGCTTGGCTGTGGGGAAAAGTGGAAAAGGCAGAAGTGGCTGAGGCACGCTGAGCTGGAGGAGAGAGAGATCATGGAGCACCCTTACGCCCAGGAGGACAGCCTGAAGAAAAAGCAACAGAAGGAAAAGGCCAAGAAGTCCGCACTGGAACTTCCCCCCAGGCCGGCCCGGTCTCTGCTCTGCTTCACCCTCCAGAACCCAGTGCGCAAGGCTTGCATCGCTATCGTGGAATGGAAGTATCCTTCGGGGGTAAAGTGGGGAGCAGGGGGGCTGCCCCCTGACTTGCGCTTGTCTGGAGAGCCCAGCAGCTGTGTGTAGACAGCTGATACCTGGAGGACGCCAAGGCGAGGAGGAAGGGCTGGGAAATTTGTGTTAACAGTGAAACTCTCTTATGAAAGTCTAAGCGCCACATAGCAGATGCTCCGAGGTTCCCCAGAGGCACTGGAAGGCAGCTGAGCTCGGCATTTATCTTTGTCACTGGGAAAAGAGGCACGGGGGTGGCGTGGGGGGCAGGGAGTGACTTGACCAAAGCCTTGTGTTGACCCTGGAGTGAATTGGAAGGTGAATGTGTATCTAATTGGGAGCTATGATACAAATTGTTCATTCATAGATTAAGGGTTGGCTTATTGGATGTCTATAACTTCATAATCGTTTATCTGCAACAGTTGTGGATGTAAAGAACTGTTTGGATTTCAGATTTGAGCTGGATATAGTGGAGGCCATTATTTCATATGACTTTTAAATTGAAGTAAATTACATTCAGGAACAGCACCCCCTTCCCCCAATCATATATCCTTGATGTTGCAATAAACAGAGTGAATGAATGTTAAACAGGACAGCTCTGTCAGGAGATTCTCCCCCCCACCTTTCTGGCTGCTGGATAATAAATTAGTTTTGCTTCAGATTCAGATTCCCACTGATTATCGTGGTGAATGTCAGGAAGTTATTTTCCTCAAGCCAGGTTGGCTATCAACTCTGTGAGGATTTCTTTTCTGAAAACTATTTCTGAGAGTATGCAACTTGACTCACTGGCTTGATTCATCTGAACTGTTTTGGGCAACCATTTCTTGCATGGCATAGACATATCGCGATGTGGCTTCTTATTCTCTCCTGCTTTCTGCTTGTGGCACACTATAACCTGTAGGGTGTGGATTAGTAGCTGGAAGCAGGTTTGGGCTGATGCTGGAGAATCTTGTCATAGGTCAGAAGTTTAGGCTAGATTATTTTATTCTGGTCACTTTGAACCCTCCTTCAACCTGGGGACCAAATTCCATTTTGGAGAAGTTTTTGGGGGCTGCGTTCCAGAGTTAGGCAAGGCCAAAGGGGGAAAAGTGTTTCTTTTCGTGTGACTCGACCGAGTACAAATTAAGTAGTCTGTTTTGGATGGAGCAAATGGAAATGAGGCAATAAAACCAATATTAGTTAAACAGCGGGCAAAGGAAGAAGAATGGCATTGTATCCTTTTCCTAATTGCTTCTGGATAAAAGAAGAGAGCGTGGGCCATTGGTGGTACTCATCTTCAAGTTGCCTTGTAACCTGAACACCGAGGAAACTAGCTCCAAGTGATGCCAACTCTCAGGCACGGCATGCAGCAGGGCCCTGTGGGATGGTTTCCATTCTTCCCTTGAAGGAATATGCTAACCTTGAGCTGCCACAGCAAGTGGTGCCTGGAATCCGATGAATAGCAGGCAGCAGATGATGACAATGCTGAGGAAAGAAACTAGGCTATAGAATGAGATTCAAATAGCGCTGTTGTCAGGAAGCCGTTGCCACTGAGTCTCGGCCACAGTCGCTAATACTGGGATAATAATACTGATCTATCAAAAACAAGGTTGTTGCACAGATTGCTGAGATAGTGGAGTTGAAATACATTTTAAAAGTGCGATATGAATCTGAAGAGAGTACCTGAAGGAGGATGTATGCTGGAGTCGATGGGGGGTGATTTGGAGAGTTTTACAATGGGGTGAATGGTCTGGGAACATAGTCACAGCAATGCCAATGCCTGTGTAGGAAGATGCTCTGAGATGTTCAGTGAGTGAGCTTCACCTGGACATGTCCACCTGCACCATAGCGATGAGGGAGGTATTTGTCCTTTCATGCTTTCTAATCTATATGTGAATTGAAACTCACTCGGCACTCCTCCAAATTTTGCAGTGGAGTTCTCCTGTCAAGAAATCTATGTAAAAATGCATATATTGAGGAAATTGCATGTTTAAAATAAATTATATGGAGAAAATGCCTGGAAAAATATGTATGTTAAACAAAATCACATACAAAACTGTGTGCATTAGGAGGAATGTGCACAAGAAATCCTGTGAATTTTATGTGAATTTTAAAAACCCTTAAAAATGAACGAAATTTAGGATTGGAAAAATGCAAAACTGAAAGAAACTGATATGGATAGATCTGTAGATCATACACACACGCACTTTCCTCCTCTTATTTCTCCCAGTTTCACAGCATATCTTTGCCTTGCTTCTCTTTTCTTAGTTGTCCATTCATTCACTGGTTTCTATGCCTCATCTCCTTTACTGAATTAGCCCTTGTTTTGATGAGTATCATGTCTGTTACACAGACTGGCAACTGGCACATACTGAATTTGGCACCATATACTAGAATTCATTTGTTATCACTACCTGTTTGGTGAATACAGATAGTATTACCTGAAACAGGATGCATATTTTTGCCGCTCGTTACTGAAATGCTGAACATTCCAATATTGGGCATGTTGGACTCAGATGTAGAAATAGGGGACATTTTAATTGGAAAGTATTTATTTATTTATTTATTTATTATGACTTTATACTGTACCCTTTTCCATCCTAGAAGGTTCCAGGCATCTACAAGGAAAGGTTCTCCTCTCCATTTTATCCTCACAACAACCCTGTGACGTATGCTAGGCTAAAAATCAGTGACTGGCCCAAAATCATCCAGTGAGGTTCATGACTGAATGAGGACTAGAACTGGGGTTTCCCAAGTCCCAGTCTATCACTCTGGCCACTATTCTGGATTGCATGGGAATATCTATTTTTGTGGTTATTATTTCATCATTGCTCTATTAAGGCATAGAAGTGGCTTTTTCCTTCTTAGGAACCGTTTGTTTCTTTAATGCCCATGCAGGCAACCTGTGACCCTCAGGCTAATTTCTTGCAGCCCTCAGTCAAGCTTCACAAGCCCTCTGCATGCAATAGTTTCAGACTCTCACAAACTCTGCCTTTTCTTAGTAGCCACCTTGGGCAGCAAGAAAGAGAGAAAAGGAAGTGGCAGAAAGAGGGAGGGAGAGAAAAGGGGATGGCAGAAAAAAAGAAAAGGGAGAGCCAACCACTTTGGATCCCTATCCCTGATTGTACCTCTGCTCCCATCATCATACATCCCCTGACACATAAGGGAATGAAACTCTTAACCAAATAAAATAAAATAAAATAAAATAAAAAGTCACCCACCCCTGGCTCAATGCAACAAAAGTGGACCTCTTTTTCTCTATCAAAGCCCATTTACCCCCTTTCTTTCTTCTCTCAATATCTGTTTCTTTTTCTTTCTCTAAGTCCTGTTTTGTGTGATGTTGAACCATTTAAGCCAAAATAATGCAGCAGTCGGCCCTAAGAACATGTTGTTAACCCACAGTCCATATGCTGAACACTAAGAATATAATGTGATTTACCAGTTTATTTCTAGTAATACACAAAGGATCTCTTCTTCTAGGGCTTGCTGCCATCTCCCCACTCTTATCTTTTTTCACTGTATCACTCTCTTTCTTTGAAACCATGTCCCCTTCATCTGAACATACATGTTCAGAGATTTTCAGAACACCAGTGTTACTTGCCTTCTAGGCTGGTTGGTTGCCTTCCATTTCCTGGCATTTATTTATTCAATTTCTATAACACCCAGGGCTCTCTGGGAAGTTAGTGACCATTTATACAAAACAATAAAATACAATGCAAAATACAAATGCAATAAAAACAGCAGAAATTTCAGTACAAAGTTTGAACAATGAAAACACATTCAGTGGACTGGACCAGATAAGTGTCCCCCATATGCAAATGCAATCAATACCGCAGCATATAAGACAGTCTTAATCTGGAGAACAGGGTTGGCATCAGGCAATACTTAGTGGGGAGAACTGCGGGGCTGAAGCTGAGAAGACCCTCTTCCATGTTGCCACCTTCTGAACTTTTCCCGCAGGTGACACTTGAAGGAAGGTCACAGATTTTATTTGTTTGTTATATTTATATTTAGATGTTGGACATAGTGTGTAAGGAGATTGGGGTTAAGAGAGGTATATGCCACAGGTACTGCACTTCTGGCCTGTATAAGGCTTTATAAGCTAAAACCAGGACCTTGAAGTACATGGGCAGCCAGTGCATCAAAGTTCAGCTCCCTGTAAGTGAACATATGCTAGCCAAGGCCCTTTGAGCCTTCAAAATCAAAATACAGTAGTTGTTAAGATAGAAGAATTAAATGTGCTATGATATATCCATCACTGGTTATGGATATATAGTTATCTAAAGTTATTATTAAGTAGAGCATTTATAGCCCCCTGGTCTGTGCCAAACATAGATTAATTACACTTACAGCACAGACCTATAAACAGCAGCTCCGAAGTATGGACCACTGTGTTTAATGGGGCCCTACTCCTAGGTAAGTGTGAGTAAGATCATCCCTTTAATGGCTGTTGCGTGGTCATATCATGTGGTCTTGCCCTTCCCTTCTGTTGTAATGTTCAGCAAAGCAAAGCATGTGACATGAAGCATCCATTTTACAAGTCGCAGCCCGGCCAATGGAAACCCACAAAGCAATGAGATTGCAGTGCACATTTTGCCTTACTATATGTTGCTTGGAGGAGGAGGAGGAGAACTGTGGGTTTTGCCGCACAGATGTGGCGTTCCTGCCAGACTTAATGGGAAAAAGTGATGGCCTGGACTGAGCAAAATGCGTTGCGGTGCAGCGCTTGCTCCAGAGAACTTCTAGTAACAAAGCTCTTTATTCACAAGGCAGAAGTTGGCATCCCTTCTGCTTTAAGACCGTCATCACCCAGGTATCTCTCCTTTGTAAAGCCTTATCCAACCCTGTTACCTGACCACACCTAAAGCATACCCAGAATGCTTCTGAAAAACCCATCCGAGGGAGGGAAGTTTCTGGAGGTCAGTTGGCATATTATTCTGGGATGTCAACTACCCACACAGTCAGCTCCCAGCAGCTTCAAAATGATGGTATCCCTAGAATTTATCATGTATTCAGAGAAAAATCTCCCCACTTCCAAAAAAAATCCCCAAACACAAAATGTAACAATGCATTTACTTTAAAAACATGAAAAGGATCCTGTCACTTTGAATGGAGGCATTGTGCGTGGAATTGACTGCTGAACACTTCGTTTGTCAACACTGCCCTTCAACTGTACTTCAGAAACATCCCCTAAGCGGATTTCTCTGTGAAGTTTTCAGATCCAGGGTTGCCGTGGTCAGGACCAAATGAGTGAAAGGCTGCCATGAGTGCGATGGTGTAAACTGGTGTCCTGCAACAGCAGAGGGTTGGGACCGGTGGCCTTCATGGCCCCTTCCAGCTCAACTATTCTATTATTCTACGATATGGCTGCTAAAAGCCTGACAACATACAAAGAACTTTAGACTTAAGATGGGATTCCTGATCTGATCAGGAATCCAAGTTTCAAGTCTTGCTTCTCACCATGCCTTAGAAATGCTGATGTGCCTGTCCTTTGGAAGGATGCTCTTAGATATGCTAATTGTTTACCTGTCCTGAAGGTACCTCTCTTTGGGTTATCATAACCCCATTCAACCTGTTTGCTTTACTGTCATGTGTCTCTAAGAAACTGCCTATGTGATCCCTCTCCATCCCCAAACGGTGTATAAAAGCATCTTGTACAGACTCCCTCTTTGCAGTCCCTTTGGGGCTGCCTACATGCCACAGGCATTTCCCATATGTCTGAAAAAACTGTAGATGTACACCCCCAGTGGACTCTGAAAGGATGCTCTTTTCACTCTTGTCACAATTAACACACCTCCAGAATACCTAGAAGCAAGGAAGCAGCTTGGAGGGGCTGTTTTTGCCTACAGAGCAATTAGTAGAGAAAGCTAAGCAGCACCTCTGCTTCTCTCCCTCTGCTCTTTCTTTCAGCATAGCAAAGTTCCCACGGCTGCTGTTCAGCCTTAAAAAGTTGGGAGTTTAGGATACTGGCTGGGGGCTGGTGGGAGGTGCAGTTCTGATTTGTTTAAAACAAACTTAGGACTGAGTTGTTACATACTTAAAATTAAAGGTCAGCAAAACACTGTACTATAACACCCATAATGCAATGACATAAAATGCTGGTAAGATGATCAGTGGTCTAGTTTTATAACTATCCAGTAAAGAGACATAGTTGTTCAATTTCTCTGTGATCCAAGGGCAAGTGCACAAGAGCTCTGTGGACTCAAAGCTCTCTTAAAGGCAGAAATACCCACACTTATGGGGCAGACAGAAGTGGACTGGTGAAGCAGGTTCTCTGCAGAATCCATAGCTCTAGAAAAGGCAAAGGCCTCAGAATTTCCTTTGGCAGTTTTGTACCTCCCTATATCACATACCACTTTATTGAAAAGGGTCTAGTAAGGACCATTGTCCTGGTGATGATATGCCCAAGCTCAGACCTCTCTCCTTCAGGAATTCCTTGCTTCCCCACTTTAACCTCCAGGGCTCACATTCTGCTCTCATTTATGGCACTGAATTCCAGGTTTGTTTCATTTCATGCTTGCCTCTGCTGCATGCTTAGAATGAGCAAGATGACTGAGTGGCTTCTTGCGCCTTTGGAGCGAGGGCTGGGGAGAAAGAGATTCAGCACTGTGAAAGTCAAGGGATCGATCATTGCAAACAAGGAGCAGGACAGTGTGTGTGAGAGAGGGAGAGGAGAGGGGGAGAGAGAGAGAGAACTTTGTATCGTGTTACATTAGTACACATCTCGAAGAACCTCACATGCCCCCAGCTCTCTGAACTTCTTGTAGACTATGTTTCAGCCAGAAATTAGTATCTGGTGGCAGGGTGGTGTTTTGGCAGAGCCAAGGAAGTATCCCTACAGATACTTACTTGCATGCATCTGACCCCAGTGTTGCCATGGATAATTGCATACCCAGAGATCTCAAAGTTGAGAAGAATTCAGTGGGACATGCAGGGAATAAATGATGTGTAATTGTAGAGATTGCTTATGAACCAAAAAGAGAGGATTTTAATGCAAAATGTTATGATGATTCAAGCAGCTTTATAAATAACAAGCTTGATCAATTAGAAGGCATTGGGCAGCTATTCCATATTTTTCTTCTTAATGAGTTTTCTGCACCAAGGAAAAGGGTAGAAGATATCCTGGAAGACATGAGAGGGTTATGAGTGGAAGATGAAAATATCTTGACCCCTTTTGTGAATGAGACAGAGTGTTGGCATCTGGAAACACCATATTCTTAGCATCATCTGCCTCTGTCTTCTGGTATGAGATTACCTGTTACAGAATCCTCATTATGTAATATTCGTTATTAATGCACCTGGCCTTTAAGCAGTTTTTAGCTACTCTGGTTCATGCCACAACTAGTAAGATGCAATGAACTTTTCTTTAACAAACACCCTCAGACCCTTCGAAACCGTCATTCTGCTGACCATCTTTGCCAACTGTGTGGCACTGGCAATCTATCTACCAATGCCTGAAGATGACACCAACAGAGTGAATTCCAGACTGGTAAGAAATTCTTTTTTCCTTGCTCCTCTCCTCCTCCTGCAGTACCTATTATATCCTCCCATACAACTGCTTGCTTACAGTGATTGATGCTGCCAGGTAGCTTTGCAATAGATGCTGGAACATTATCAGCATTAAGAAACCTGGTATCAGCCCCATTGCTTTAATACTTGAAATCAGAGCTATTTCGATTACTTGGTGTGCAAAGATACCTTTGGATCAAATTTATTTATTTAGAAAAGTATAGAGTACAACTTAATGCCAAAGAGGACTTCAGGAAGGTATACACTAAAGACTACTGTTCAATGCAATAACGACATATGGGGTTAAATCAACATCATACTAGTGTGGAAGTCTGCTAGCACAACGGGATTTTTGCCCTATTTCCTCCCTCCTGCAGCCCACACGTCTGTTTGGGAGAAATTTGCAACCCACTGGAGCAGACTTTGGGAGTGCACAGAGCTGTGGGTGGAGGGGATCACCCCCCTTGTGCTGCTGATGAAAGCTCTTTCATCAGCCAGTTGATATCACTGGATGTACTGTAACTCAGAAATTTACAGTTCAGTACGGTGAGCATCATATGGCTTCTCTGCGCTATTGTGTGCTCCTGGTTTCTCATTCGTGTTAGTTTCCAGGTGATCCTCCAGGGCCTCTTCCACTTTCTGCAACCATTTCTGCAGCATTTTAATTTTTTAGCTCAAATAAAAAGTGTACACATGCAATACCACTGTGCAACAGCACTACTCTGTGCCTATGTAATGGAACTTGTACAAAGGCAGAGAAGGAAAAAGCATTTGCAAAAGCCACTCTTAATCCTGCAAAGACTCCTTGGAAAAGTGGTGGGTTAAAAGCCTCATGTAGAGAAGCCCATACAAGCTATTTCAAACAGCTAAGATACAAACTGAAATTTGAAATGCCTGGATGAATAAAAAAAGTTTTAACTGGAGACTGAAAAGATTGCCAGGTTGGCATTAGGTTTGTCTCCCCATGGATGACAGAGATGGGGGTGGGGGGAGAGGCTGCATACATCTTTCTTCAATAACATCTCTGTTGCATAAAGAAACCAGCCCCTTCTGGGCAAATGCTGCAGCTATTGTGGCTAATATCCTCTTCCTATGTGTGGGGTGTCTTTCCAAACAAGTGGAATTGCTATCTGTCTTCCAGCCCAAGGCTAGTATTTCTTTAAAGTTCTGAGGCAGGGAAGCATTGAGCAGAGTGTGCTCCAGTGACCAGCAACCCTGCATTTGTCCAAGTTCCCAGCAGCTTTCCTATGAAAGCTATTCCTGTGCCAGATGCATGCTTCTGAGGGTCAAATTAAGACCCACTGAATTACTGGGAGTTGTCATAGAGAAAGCTCTTAAAGAAACAAGCCCTTGGTGCTGAATGGCTTTTTAGCAGTCTTGTTATTCTCCAAATGGGAGAAGAAAGTGCTGGTGCCAGCCAGTATTGGAGAATAGATGCAGGGAAGACCATAATGAAATCCACAAGTCCCTAGCTTTAGCCAGATCATGCCTCTCCCCTGCCCTGCATGGTCTCTCACACATAGCTTTCCAAAAACAGTGATTGTAAGGGAACCATCAGAAAGGTTAGCAATCTTCTCTGTCTGCTAGTCTGGAAGCCCTGGAACCAGGCATACACCTATAACTTAAAGACAACTCAAAGTTTATTTTACTGGAAGTGAGCACAAAATAAGTGTAGAAATTAAGGCAAACACCTCTAAACTCAGCCTGATTTATTCTGAAACATGAAAAGCCTGACATGGATGGACTCTGGTAATCCTGAAGGGAGTTTAGAGTGATGGACAGTTGCAGCTGTAAGAGAGAAGAAGGCAACAGCAGCCTCTGATGTGAACTGGGGTGGGGGAATGGTGGTGGGGGGGCAGCAAGAAAAATGCAGCCGCAGTAACTATTCTGAGCTGTGTGACAGCCCAATGTAGCCATGCTGTCCGTTGATTCAGCGGCAGCACAAACAGCCGAGGCTTAAACCTAGTCAGCAGCCTCAGCGGTGCTTGGAGTGTGTTCTTCCATCTTTGCCCTTGTTAGACAATGTCTCCCAGGCTTCCAGCACTGGCAGAAATACAACCTGATTCAACAGAATGTTAGTGCAGAAACCACAAGTAGAATCCTGCTAGTTTTCCTAGAAAAACACAAAGCCAGATTCATAGCATTTCCTCTGAGTTTATTCATTTGAACGTCCAAGTTATAGAGATATCTGGAGCTATCGCTATAGATACCTGGAGCTATTCTGTGTTACTTCGATCGTATTTGCCTGAGGAAAGAAATAAGCAGGGAACTCTTGAGTGTTTCCCATTACTTTTTTAGGCAAGAACAAGAAAATGGAAATGGGGGAAAGGAAGAATGGAATTGAGTAGCTTATAATTGATAGCTTATAAAAGTAGCCTAGACAGAATGTATGGTTGGAAATTCTGTATCAACAAACAATAAAAAAATCCAAATAGTAAAATCTGCCAGTATGAATCTATCTTCTATAGAATGTCGTAATGGAAGGAGGTCTTAAAATAGTTATGAGAATTCCCTCAGCATGCACAGTTCTGTCCCTTCTGTTTCATCTCAATCTTCCTGCATACTAAAAGCAACTAAACAAACAAATCCTTTTGAAAAAAAAATCTTTGTGTGCAGAAACATTCTGACATTTATCTCTATAATGGATTTAAGCAGTATTTTAAATGTTAATATTATTGAATTTTATTTGGCCAGGGCGGCTTGTTTTATAGTGTATGTTTTATATTATATATTTGTATTTTATTGTATATATTTTAAAATGTTATTTTAATTTTTTGTTGTAAGCCGCCCCGAGGCTTCGGCGAATGGGGCGGCATAAAAATGTTTTAATAAAATAAAATAAAAATAAATAAATACTTTTCCCTTATGAATATTTGCACACTCTCCACAGGAGTTTAATACTTTTTCTTATTCTATTATTAATCACCCACTTAGATACATGAGTAAAGTGGGCAAGGATCACCCTCTATAGATAATTTGCAGGCACAGTTCTGTGGCTTATGAAGGCTGGGGCCCAAATGCCCTGTTTCTCAAAGGGTAGGCTTCCAGAGGAGCGTGCAACTTGGGAGTTGTGGAGTGGGGGTGAGGAGGACCAATGGCCTCTTTACTAGCCACCTAGTAGTGCTCACCTGGAAAGCTTTGGCTTAGTGCATGGTCTAGCTTGGTACATGATCTGCTATGTCCAGTTCAACACCTTGCCTTTGTTCACACATGATGGCAACTTATGGATTGTTGGAGCCATGCATGATCAAATGATTTGGATTCTGGCCCCGGTTTCCCCTCTGCATCCCCTTCCAGCAGCAGCTGAACATTTCCAGGTTGTTTACTGCAGTGTCCAAACCTGGCACACTGAGTTGTGAAGGGGAAAGAATCTGATTTGAACACATGGCTTGTTGCATTAAAACTCTGTCCCCTCATCAACCCAAAGGTCTGATTCCTGGATTGTTTGCTAAACTGGATGAAAAAGGGGAGCAGTGAGTAGCAAGAGCCTTAACCAACCATGGGTTAATTAATTAAACTATGAATGATTGTTACATTCAAATTTGTCTCCTCAGTCAGAAAGTTTTACAGCTTATCCTGGCATAGCCTCTGACCTAAATCTCAATATTTGCATTTCTAATGTCCTGAAGCAGCAATTTTTGAGCTCCCATACACCATAGATCATTTGAAAATATCAGAGAGCTTGGTAGATTTTTTGGTCTACAAAATCATATTTAAATTTTTAAAAACCAACAAAAAGTCTTCTGGCACTTTAAGGTTAACAAAATGTATTCAGCATAAACTTTTGTGGGCACTGTCCACCTCAGTGAATGCATGCATTGTAAATTTCAGAGTGACAGATTTATGTATACATGCTTAGAGGGGAGGGGGGGAAATGTTTTGTCATTCAAATTACAGGAAATCAATTTAATTTTTTTAAAATCCTTCAGCACTTGCACTATTGTCAAAACCACTGATGCATTATGAAAATCATGCATACTTTAGGAAAGACCTCTTTAACTGATAAATGTTTTGTGGAAATTAGCAGATTTCACCCACACAGTTATTGAAATCATCTGCCTTCGGCCTTGTTAGCGTGTTTGATAATCCATCTCTAGTCTGAAGTCCCTTGATCTCCATTGTCAGAAAAAAATCACTCAAGTGCAAAGCTGAATGCTAATATTCTTCACTGTTCTGCAGTCCTTTTGTGGACTCCCTTAATGGAACTCACAAGACCACAATCTGAGAATGTCTGTCCTAGAATCTGCATCTAGTTAGTTTGACTGAAAGGCCAGTCCAAGCCTTGAATAAATACTATAGACCTGTATTTAATGTTTCCCCTTCTTACATTTCATAACAAGACTCTTTGCTCTACTAGAGTAATTCTGAACAGTAAAGTGTAACATCTTTCACTGTTCAGAAAGAACAGACTCTTACTCAACTTTAATTTAAGCTTGATATATAATTATAGTGTCATTGACCATTTGATTTATACTCTAATGACAGACTATAGTTATTTGTAATTGGCTTTCATGCATTTATGCAGCTGTATCCTTAACATGTGATTGTCTATATGACCAGAATTACATTTTATGATCTGATAGTAAATTCATAAACTTTATTTAATCAGGAATTTGTTGTATACAGTCCATAATCTTATTTAGTCCTCAAAATCCATATGCTGCAACAAATCTGTTAATCTTTATGGTAGTGCAAGGCTTTTTGGCTGCATTCAGAGGTCACAAGAAAGCATTTTGTCCCCTTTGCTTTTTAACATCTACATGAAACTGCTGGGAGAGGTCGTCAGGAGGTGTGGGCTGCGGAATCATCAGTACGCTGATGATACCCAGCTCTACCTCTCATTCTCCACCAATCCAGGTGAGGCAGTGGCTGTATTGAACCGGTGCCTGGCCAAGGTAATGGACTGGATGAGGGCCAATAAACTGAAGCTCAATCCAGACAAGACGGATCCCTGTTGGTGGGCGGATCAGACCTCAGGATGGGGGACTTGGGCCTTGTCCTAAATGGGATTGCACTCCCTCTGAGGGACAGCGTTCACAGCTTGGGAGTGCTCCTCGACCCTGAGCTGTCTTTGGAAGCTCAGGTGATGGTGGTGGCAAGGAGTGCCTTCCTTCAGCTTTGGCTGATACATCAGCTGCATCCCTTCCTGGAGAACGACTGCCTGGCGACAGTGACACACGCGCTGGTAACTTCCCGATTAGATTTCTGTAACGCGCTCTACGTGGGGCTACCCTTGAAGACAGTCCGGATACTTCAATTGGTGCAGAATAGAGCTGCCAGGTTGCTGATGGGGACCGGGCGTTGTTCTCATATAACCCCAGTTCTCTGTCAGCTCCACTGGCTCCCGATTGAAGTCCGGGCCCAATTCAAGGTGTTGGTTATGACCTATAAAGCCCTAAACAGCTTGGGACCTGGTTATCTAAAGGAACGCCTGCACCCATATATGCTCGCCCGCCCCTTGAGGTCAGCAGCAGATGCCCTCCTCCGGAAGCCCTCCAGGAGAGACATCAGGAGGCAAAGTACCCAGAGGAGGGCTTTCTCTGCGGTGGCGCCCCATCTATGGAATGCGTTCCCCAGAGAGGTCCGCCTGGCGCCGTCGTTATTTGTTTTTCGGTGCCAGGCTAAGACCTTTTTATTTAAAACTTATTTTAACTGTTAATTATTTATTAACTAGGGGTTTTTTTATTAGCCAAGAATACACTGGGAGGTGTTATTTATTGTATAATTTAGTATTTATTTATTTTATTACTTCTGGCTTTTAAAAAAATGTGTTGTGAGCCGCACCAAGGCTTTGTTGCGATGGGGCGGCATAGAAATGTTTTAAATAAATAAATAAATAAATAAATAAATAATTTAAGATGATGTGAATGAGCCTTGGGCTTGTGTGTATGTCCTCCTGCCCACCATGCACGTACACCGGAGTTTGGTAGCTTGTGCTTCTGCTTTTCGTTAACTGTAGTTTAGCACATCATCTCAACCTTAAACTGTGGGGAATGTTAACTATGGCTTATTTAAAACAAGCCAACTTCAAACCATAGGCTTTAAAGCTGGACTGCTTAAACAAACCATAGTTAGTATTAGCCATGGTTTGTCAATATGGACAACATGACAAGGTATGATAAAGGAAAGTGTCTGCAAAAGCTTTCAAACCCCTCCTGCCTGCCTTTCTCATCCCAGAGAAACGTGGGTGGGTGCGGGGGGGGGGCGTATTTAGTGTGCAAGCCTCAGGCTCACCTAGGTTCATTCACCAGGGTTCATAAACTATGGTTTAGCATAAGGACCAAATGCACCCTTAGATGATTTATAAAGACTTGTTACCTGTAAATGAAATTATACTTGGGCTTGTCTTTTTCTGTTTTCCTGAATGAAAGGCTAGTTACTAAATTTTCCTCTGTATTCATTGGAACCAAGTTATGAAGAGGAAAGACTGGTGACTAGGAGAATGGACAGCTGCTGGAGGCGGACATGAAGGATTTCTGCTGAAAGGTTCTGGTGCTGCTGTGAATTTTGAAGCATCGGGGCAGTTACAGCTTTCAGCTGGAGACTTTCCATGAGTTCTCAAATGCACTAACTAGTGCATAGTTGTGGCTAAAATAACTGTGTGCTTATATGGTATAGAGAAAGCAACAGAAAATAGTGTGTGAACTGAGCCTTAGACAAAGAATCTGAAAGTTCCCCGAGGACTATAACAAATCTGGACTTTTTCGATGCCAAAAAGAATTGGCTGTGGCCATTATCCTTTAGAAGAGCAACTCACATGATTTTGGATTTTTCAGCAACATTTCTATGAAACTTGGAGATCTGACTGTGATTTCATCCATAACACTGGTGTATCCTCTTTCTGTGTCTTGCAGGAAAAGCTAGAATACTTCTTCCTCATAGTATTTGCCATTGAGGCAATGCTAAAGATAATTGCCTATGGATTTCTATTCCATGCAGATGCCTACCTTCGAAGTGGCTGGAATGTGCTCGATTTTACGATAGTCTTTCTAGGGTAAAAGACCTATTAATTTTTCTCTGCTTGTGCTGGAATGGGTGGTGGGGGAGGGTTTCAGGAAAATGTCTATGATTCCTTGGAACAGTGACATCCTGTGTGCCCTTACCCAGGCGTACAATTCAATGAACTCAACAGGGCTTGCTTCTAATTAGAGAAGTATAACATTGCACTGTATGTTTAACTTATAAACATAGGGAGGGAGATGGGGCATTTTAAGCCCAGACATGGTCTCTGAACAGCTTCTCTTCACATGTGCAAAACTGTTATTTGGCTGTTTGCAAAAATTTACTTGTTTGGCACCTTTTTGTGGTGGTTTAAAAATATGAAGCAATGAATGCATGTAGAAATAATGTCCAAAGAGCATATGCATAAATGCATGCGCACAGAGAAGTAGCAAAAAATTCTATTCTCTTATTTTGAGCGATGTGTTGATGCAAACCCTAGCAAGGGGTGTTTGCAGCCTGGCTGGGGGGCATGCCACACATGGGAGTGCCAGTTGCATGACCACAGTGGACCACTGCGCATTGTTTAATGGTGGTGCCGCATGGATCTGGAATATTAGAACTGCAGCCATGGTTTGAATATTCATTGTGGCTGCCAGCATGCACCACCGCCTGCTGTTACTTATAAAAGCCACAATAACTTACTGGATCATGCACACCAGCCTAACACATAGCAATTGTGTCTTCTGCATGTACACAAGGATTGCTGTGTTGAATGCCATGAAATGTGGGGGAAAGACATGTGCTGGAGCTACAGCCTGTTTTATTCCTGGATGCTTGAAGAGACGTGTCTCTAGTTTACTCTTTAGATGCATTTACACATCACGTTAACCCACCCAGGCAACAAACCACCATGGGTTGGTTGTTGGCTGAATGACCCATGGTTTGTCCGACAGATGATCAGGCATACCATGGATTATTCATTCCTTCACTCCCTCTCCTTTCCCCACAGGCCTCCTGGGCATATCTCAGGAGACAAACTTGCCTCTTCCTCCCCAGTATGATTGCAGCCATTTTGGGCTCATTGCAGCTCTTTTGCACTTTCTTCCTGGGATTGTGCAGGCTTGCTCTAAAGTGGACTTTCATGATCCCTGTTTTGACAGCCCCCAGCAGACCCTTGAAAGGGAACACCTTGAAGGAATTATCATTAGATGGCAGTTAATATTTGAAAATGCCCACAAAATGTGCTCAAGTAGGTTTGCTCCTTTTTTAATTACTATTTTTAGCTGCCCTTGTACAGCTAGGAGGTTTGTGGTTGCATGAATGTGGGAGGGTGAAGCCTCTGCTGGGACTGTGTCCTTGCAAAAGGGCAGGTGATCTTTGCTCAGGAAAAAGGGCAAGATGCTCAACTTTTTCTTTTATTTGCTCTGACAGTCCAAAATTGGTGCCATTTTGTACTTTTCCCTGATTTGTAAGTGCTTGGGAAACTGAAAAAGTGCACCTCCACACCCTTTTCCTGGTAAAAAAATTCACAGCTAGACACATGTGTGTGCAGCCATCGCCCTGTCAAAATCCTCTTTTAAAAGAGGTCCAAGAAAGAAGTGGTGGGTGCACCTAGAGTTTCAGGGGAAAACTGCAAAATATGCACCAGCCTGTGGCCTGTTGGAGTGGGGTGGGAAGAAGTTGAAGATCTTGCCCTGAAGGAGATGTAAATTGCACCACACCCTTTTAATGAGCAAAGATTACTTGCGCCTTTTGGCAGCTGTCAAAACAAAACAAAACAAAAACCAAGGAGGTAAAGATGGAGCATCTTTGACAAAATGTCCAGGCTTGGTACCTGCTGTACTTTGGAAACAAGTGCACCCCAGGATGTTGCCATAGCTGAAGCTTCAAATTCCCATGCTGCTGGAAGTGTAAGCTTCTGCAGTTATGCAAGTGTGGCTTTTAAAAAATGAATATTTTTGCACACATTGTGTGTGCATTAAAAAAAAAAAAATCTGCCAGCCGCTGGCAGCCCATCCAAGCTGTTGCTTAGGCAATTTGAATGGATTGCCAGTAGATGTCAAAACAGGGATTGCAAAGCCTTACTGACATGTCAGCTTTCACTGTCTCAAGGGAAAACAAGGATAAAGTCCAAAGAGGTTGAAGTGTGCCAAGAATGGCTCATGATTGCAGCCAGGGGAGTCGCAAGCCAGTGCCAGCTACCCTCGGGTAGCGCTTGGGCATTTGTGTGGCAGTTGGCCCTGATGGGTGCTTGGGCAAGACGGGCAAAGAAGGCAATCTGGTTTTGCTCTTGCCAAGAAGCTTGTTAGTCACTGCCTAGCACCCAAGGAACCCAGGTCAGTTGTCTGGGTTCAAACGATGCTGCAACCTCCTGAACAAGCTCTGGGCTGTTAGGATGGCTTCCTGGCTTTTAACAAGCTTTCCTGTGAAACTCAGTCTGGGTTCACACAACATGACAAACCATTGGTGGTAGCAACCCATGATAGGTTGTCATGTCATGTAGACCCAGGCAGTGTGTTTGTGCAAACACCAGAGTATACGGAGTTTCTGCATGAAGTGCAAATCTGTCCCTACTTCTTCCATGTGTTCATGAATGTGACTTCCTGGAGAAAAAATTAGTGTGAACACCTGTGGAGACAGCTACAGCTATTTTTGTGTTCACAGCCAGTGAAAAAGGTACAGCTGGTGTCCTAGAAATGCCACCTCCTGCCAACTTCGCACCAATATTTTTGTTTTCTCCATGTGTGGAGAAAATAAATAGGGCTTTGGTTTGTGAATGCAGCTTAAGATCATCAGCAACAGACTGTTCTGGGTCAGAACCATCTGTGCACCTGACACTCGTAAAGCTTATTCTTCTACTCTGGATCCAGTCCCAAGGTTGCGGTGTCTGGGAAGGAGCCAATTTACTGGGGTGGGACAGATACCTGAGCTGATGTTCCACACCCAGGAAAGCCCTCACTTTATGATTCAGTGGTGAGGAGAGTAGGGGTCCACAGAGACAAAGACTCACTACAGCCCAGTGATTCTCTGTCTTGGATCCCGTAATATTGCCAGGCTACAGATCCTATCATCCTTGAACACGAAGCAGAATGGCAGGGCAGGATGGAAATGTTAATACAAAAAATCCAGTGGACTGATGTGGGAACTTCTGCTCCAGCTTGTGCCTGTACAGACATTTCCTGGTACATTTCAGTCCCAGGTGCACAACAAAGGGAGGTGTGTAGAGGCAGAGGTGTTGTTCTTTTCCTGCATCAGCTAGATGACATTGCACAGAAATGTGGTGCTGTCAGCTGTGAAGGAAAGATGCTTCTGTTTGTCGTCCTTCCTCCTATATCTCTCCTCCCCATGGAGGAAGCAGTAAGGCACGCCACATACATGTGGGGATAGTTCCCCTGTGCTGAGTGGTTGCCATGAGCATCTCATTTAGCAGATCGGGCTATTTTAACTGTGCATCCACAAAGCTTCTGTTGGGTGCAGGGTGCGTGCAAACTGCCCTGTCTGTATTACGTAATTGAAATACCCCCCATATAACAGCGACAATATGTCCACTGGGCTGCAGGAGCCTTGAAGCCAAGCTCCAATTTGCCTGGAGGACACAAAGGGAGGATGGTGTGCCTTTGTCCGAGCTCTTTGTTTGCCTTTTGCTGCTTGTCTGTTCTTCCCACCTGCTCCTTTTTGCTTGCTCTGCAGAGTCTTCACGGTGATCCTGGAGAGAATCAGCTTAATGGACAAAGCACTGCTTAGCGGGCAGGGTGGCTTTGATGTCAAAGCGCTGAGAGCATTCCGAGTGCTGCGGCCCTTGCGCCTGGTGTCAGGAGTGCCAAGTGGGTGAAAACTTCTTTAGGGATGGATGGCTCGATGCATGTAAAAGGCTCCAGCTGAGCTGATGGGGCACGATTCTCATAGGCCCTTTCATCCACAGATAATCAGAGAAACACAAAATAAAGAGGGATGGTGATGTGACATGCAGCTGTCTGAAGAAAAGGGGGAAAGCCCATCTAAAGCAAACTATGGCAAATAGATAACTAGAGCTAGCCAAGGTGACCTATGCATGAGGGTCTTCAGATAGCTTAAAAAACTTAATTTCATCAAAGCCCATCCTCAAAGAGGGACCGTCTGATGCCTTGGAAAATAGAAAGCAGATCTGGTAAAACAAAGCAAAGCAATAATGCTATTAGATCAGATCTATCTGGAGGTTTGAAAGACACTTGAATTTTAATTGTTTAATTTGTTAATCCATAAAGAACACTGAATGTCTATTCCAAATGTCTACTTTAGTTTGCTTCAATCACACCAGCTTTGCCTCTCTCTTTTGACTTCAACTAAAAGTGAGCAGGAGGCTGTGGGCATTATGGCATTGCATTCTCCCCTTCCTCGACTTCCGTGCAGGAGTCCCAGGTAGAATGTGACACAGAGGTTGGAACCTGCGCAGGTGGTTCGCTTCTTCCTCTAGCAGAGGGGTGGGTAACTTGTGGCCCTCCAGGAGGTTGTCCTTCATCTTCCAGCATCCATCTCACCTGGCCCAGCTGGCTTGGGCTTAAAAGAGCTACCGGCCAAGGCGTCTGGAGGGCCACAAGAGGCCCAGTCTTGCAGTAACTCCCAGGAGAAAATAGCACCCGTTTGTTAGAGCAGTACGTCCCTAGAAGCAGATGTTGCTGTACTACAGACCCCATTGTCCCCATCCACAATCGGGGTGTGATGGGATTTGCAGTCAACAACATATGGGGACCCATGATTGGAGATAGCTATGGAGAAAGGGTGGGACATTAAGAGACCTGCTTGTTAGTTGCTATGACCAAAGGACCACGACTTGGTGGTCTTGTACTATTCACCACTTTTCTTCTGTGAAATGCCCATGCGCTTGGAAAGGTTAAGGGTTCAATCATAGATCAGGACAGTGTGGCATAGTAGTTAGAGTCAGAGGTCTGGGTTCTAGTCTTCACCCAGTGATGGAGCTCACTGGGTGACTTTGGGCCAGTCACTGGCTCTTGGTCTAACCTACCTTGTAGGGTTGTTGTGGGAAGAAAATGAAGAGGAGGACCATGTAAGCCACCTTGAGTTCCTTGCAAGAAGTAAAAGGCAGGACATTACTGTACTGCACTAATAATGTGATGATGATTGTATAGGTAGGATAAAAGCTGAGAATCATGTCCTTCCTTCCATCCTGCCGCAGGCCTGCAGGTGGTCCTGAACTCCATCATCAAGGCCATGATGCCCCTGCTCCACATTGCCGTGCTTGTTGTCTTCATGCTCATTATCTACGCCATTGTAGGGCAGGAGCTCTTCAAGGGAAAGATGCACAAGACCTGTTACTACAATGGGACAGGTAGGAGAGGGAGCTGACCTGCCCATGATCAAGAAACAGTGTGAGTGGTCCCAAGGATTCGGGGCCTCCCCAGTGGCACCTCAGTGGAGCAAGAGTTCTTCCCCTGCAGCTCTGGCAGAAATGCGCTGGATGCTGGTGTGAAGCCTCCTGCATCCCTGAAACTCGGTCTCAGACTGGGGTACATGCTGTCGATGTAATGGATTGTCCGTGCCCTTTCGACGGCTTAGAGGCTAATATTACAACACTGAAAAGGATAAACAGCCACCCGTAATAACATAATGGGTTGAGGACTTGGGGAAGCTGTTGATTCTTGAAAGCCTGAAATTCTTGATTTGTAGGCATCATTTAGGAAAGGACAAATACTTGGTCGCCTTTGTTGACGCCTGTGCATAATTATCCCTAATAATAGCAGTATGTTTTGCTATGCATCAAATATATAAGAATACATAGCATATATGTATTCATTGTGAAAATACACTGAAATTTCACGTACAAAACTGTAATACCGTATTTAATTTCTCTGGAGGTTTTTTGTTTCTGAGTTTTGAAAAAAAATCGGGGATTTGCCATGATATACAGAGAGAAGCATTCCTGGTCGTCTTCTCACATTTGACCCTGTGTTTCCTTCCCCAGACATCTTGGCCACTGTGGAAAATGAAAAACCATCTCCGTGTACAAGTGCGGGCCATGGGCGCCAGTGCACCATCCCGGGCTCAGAGTGCAGGGGCAAGTGGCCAGGGCCCAACAACGGCATCACTCATTTTGATAACTTTGGGTTTGCCATGCTGACTGTCTACCAGTGCATCTCCATGGAGGGCTGGACAGAAGTCCTCTACTGGGTAGGCTGAGCACGAAGGGGAAAAGTACTGAGGGGCCCTCTGGTCATGTGGCAAATGCAAGAATTTGAAGCTAGGGGCACGTGGTCCTGTCACCTCCCAGGTGGTGAGGCATCTTTGGAGCACTGTGCCACTCGTTAAAGAATGACACTGTTGTCCCAGTGAACAGGCCAACCGGTCGTTCCACAGGAAGAAAGGTCCTCTAGTCAGGCTGCCGTCCACACCAGGTACACATCAACTTCCAGATGATGCTTAAGGTGTGGACTCCAATTCTATGAGCCTCAAAAGATGTAAGAACATTTAATGTCAGGGATTCTCACTTTATAGGAACAGCAGTGGCAACCCAAACTAGGACCTGGTTGATTTAAAAAATGCAGAAAATCTCGAAAAGAGTCCAGGAGGCTATCAACATTGGCAGTCCGTTGTCCATTAGGTCTTCTAGTGTTATGAGTAGGTCTGATGGATGAGTTAGGGTCTACCCCCAGCTTTGTCTTGGTAGTCTCCCCAGCCCTCAAGTAAATGTCCTCCATCCCAAGGAGAGATTTCCTAGAATGCAATACAAACTGATCCTCTTATAAATCATGATTGGATGCCATGATCACAATGTTTCTCTTCTGCCTTAGGTAAATGACGCCATTGGGAATGAGTGGCCCTGGATCTACTTCGTCAGCCTCATTTTACTGGGGTCCTTTTTCATTCTTAACCTGATCCTGGGTGTGCTCAGTGGGTAAGCAGTTCGGAGCACGTGCAGTCTTGGCTATTCCCCCAGCATCAATGAATGTGCCTGTCCTGAATGTGACTTTAAAGTCATCAAGTCCTTTAATGTGGGGATGAGTTTGGTTGCCTCTGCATGGTGCTGAATAAAAACAGGACATCTTCCCTCTCTTCTCTCCGGTTCTGATGTTCCTGTTTCCTGTTGCTCACCTTGATGGGGCAATCGAATACAAAGCCCACGAAGTCTTCCAGAATGTCAGAGACAGATGAACACATTCGATGCACTGTGTTCTTGTCGCACCACCTCTGCAACGTTCATTCAAGCAACGCCCTGCTGTTCTGCTTACAACTTCATGGAAAGGCTGGGAAAATTTAGCAAGCTGGCAGCACAAGTTAGGCTGCTTCACTGGTGTGGCAGACCAGAGCTTCCTGAGTTTGGGCAATTATTTGCAAGCAGCTCATCTTGCAGGATGAGACCACTGGTTGCGTCCCCATCTTCACACGTATATTCATTTCTTGCCAGTCGATAACCAATATGCTAATCAGGTTAAGTCATTCCTCTGGAGGAAATAGACATTTTAGCATTTAATATTAAGTTCTGCACACATATACACATACATGCAGTACATGCATGCCTGCACACATCACATGGGGCAAAAAACACCAATATGAAAAAAAATCAGAAAATTCAAATTTGCTCACGTAAGGGCACTAATGAACTCCAGAAATGACTGCATTGTATTTTCTTGGGCTTTTTGAACTTGGAAGGAGGCATCCACCGTGCTGCATTCCATCCCTCAAGTAGATTCACCGCTATGAAGCACATGGATATCTCCTATCAAGCTCAAAAGTAAAGCTGCAAGGCATAAGGAGCCCCGCTGACCAGCCTTCCCAGCAATATGTGGACAGTCAGGGGAGAAGTTCAGCGAATTTCACCCTACCTAGGCTCTTAAAGCCCCCAGTCACTACTTTAATGGCCACGTTGTGGACAGAATTGCTTGCATCCATTCTGACTTGATGCCCACAGCGTTTTCATGTTTCTCAGTCACTGATCCTGTGAACGACCCATAATGCAGGATGGACTTGTAGCATTCGGGTTAGAGAAGGGGTGTGTGTTTGAAGCTGAGAACTAGTGGCTTGCCTGAGGTCCCCAAGCCATCGCTAGGCTGAGACTTGGACTGGGAAAAGCCTGGCTGTCACTCTCAGGCTTAAGCGATATCAGTTCTCACTTGAGTTTTTTCCAGGGAGTTCACCAAAGAACGTGAGAAAGCCAAATCGCGGGGTACCTTTCAGAAACTGAGGGAGAAGCAGCAGTTAGAGGAGGACATGAAAGGCTACATGGACTGGATCACCCATGCAGAAGTCATGGATAGTGACCGGAGACGCGGTGAAGGTACTGTGCTCATCAAGGAGTGCTGCCTGGCCGAAGCACGTGGGCTTCCAGGAAGGAAGTTCTGGGGCAGAAACTCCTGGAATTTTTAATGCAGGATGTTTCCTGAATTGGCCATTTTGAATATACCAGACACAGTGTTGTTAGCTATTGTACAAATGGCTTTTGTAAAGTACATAAATCAGGCCGCTGGTGTGCAGGGTACTTGATCCACCATGGGGCAGAAATAGACTTTGCCCTGTTGGCCTGATGTTGAGTCCCTGTGACATCTCTTTGCACTGGAAAAATGCACCGGAATGCAAAAAGATGGTCCAGGAACCCATGGCATCCCCCTCCATACACACCCCCTCAGTTTAATTTTGGGTAACCTTTCACACTGCCACCACCAGTCATCAATGCAGCAGGTTGGATGGAGGGAGATTGGAGGGAAAACAGTCCTTCCACCAGACCTGCAGAAAGATCTGCTTCCTTCCCCCATCCGGCTTCCTTGTGTGGTGTCGTTTTGAATTACGCATCCATAGGCAGTGTCTGTCTTTTGTCCGGGTTAATTGCATAGGCTGCTCTGGGAGCCTTTTGGCTAAGAAGTGGGATAAAACTATTTCAAATAAATAAAAAATAAATAAATCAAGTCACTGGTGTGAATGATATCATATCTTCCCTTTCCTTTGACTGCGTTTTCCAATATCCAGAAGCCCATACTGGTACTTGTCAACTGGGGTTGGATACAACCATTCAGTGTTTTCCAAAACCCTAATAGCTTTCATAGGATGCACTAGGAGGGAGGGATAAAGCTGCTCATTCATTTCCATCCAGCTTTCATCTGCTGCCAGGCCTTAACGAGATTCTCTGCATTTCCTTGGCTGGATCTTCTGTGGGTATCTTGGCCATTGCCAGCTAGCACTGTGGCCCTATTTCTCTGTGTATTTTTTTCCTGCAGTTTCTTTGTGTTTGATTTGTGGGAATGTATGGTCAAGTTGACTTCATTCCATTAAAGCTTAGGCCATATCAAATTTGTTTGGCTTTGTTAGATTTAAGATGTCACACAATCCTTTGTTGTTTGGAGAATATCAGTTTATTTGGAAAAACCAGATAGGAATTTATTACATTCCCATTTGGTTTGCAATAGTCTTCCAGGTATGTTGATTGTTATTGTTTTCGTGTGAGGGTGGAGATGTCTTACTTACAATATAAACAACAGACCTTAGAGCACTCCTTGTTGGGAGATGCAATCTGACTGGATTAGAAGGGAAGGAGAACTACCTGTGTGTGTTTCTATTTTTGTGAATAAACTTTCTTGGAACTTGACCTGTCCCTCCATTACTTAACATAGCAGGTGTCTTACCTTTCTCCATCTTCCTCAGGACTAATGCCATCAGATGAAGGTGGCTCAGAGACAGAGAGCCTGTATGAGATTGAGGGCATGAATAAATGGATTCGCTTCTTGTAAGTAGCATGCATGCCAATCCAACACGTTCACCTTGTAGTTTAGGAGCACACAAATCAGATAACTCTGAGTGCCCCTATTACATTTCTTAGGTGAGCCAATATCCTTAGAAATGTTTTTCACTTTTTTGGGGGCAAAAATCCTCCTGTCTTTTCCATTTCTGAAAACCCCACCTTTCTTTCTAAACACAAACTCTTTTTTTCTCTTTCTGCACCACCAGCAGGTCTCTCTGGTAGACCTCCTGTTTCTGGAGTACTCTGGGTTTTCACTCTCCCTGCCTCACATGTCTCTGTTACAGCCCTCTTCTTCTCTCAACTCTCCATACCACTTGCTATTGTTTCACCATTGCAGGTCTCTCAGCAACCCCAGAATCTATTGGCTCTTCCTTGCCTTGCTGTCCTGCAACTTACGGTTCTCTCTGCACTGCATGCTAATTCTTCCTCACTTTCTGCACCCCAACAGAAGTCTTTTGTGCACCACTACAAGAAATTCTTATAGTTTGGCCCCTTTCTTTCCCTTGTGGTACAGTGGTTGGGGTAGTGGACTGGGACTCAGGCGATCCAATTTTTCATCCCACTTGGCCATAAAATGGGACTTTCAGTAAGTCACTGACCTGGTTGACACACTCACTGAAATGGCCTGTTTAATCCTCTGAGTGTGCTACTGTGTGCAAGGCACGACTTCCCTAATTACCTGCCTGAGAACAGATTGTGGTGTGGTCCAAAGGCCAATGGCAGGAGGCAAAACAACCATCAAACAACCCATGACCTCTTGTTGGGGATAAAAGAGAGAGGAGGAATCTTGGGTTCCTTTTCTTCCCTGCAAGGAGGAAAAGTAGGATATAAATGTAAAATTGATCTGTTTTTGTACCATTCTCTCCATCTCTACTCCTGAGTATCCCGGCAACAGTGCACAAGACTTATATTCTCCCAGTAATTTCACATTTATCATTTCTTAGCCATGTAGGTCAAGGGCCCTTGATCTGGGTCAGGGCTACAGGGTAGGGCACAGGGTGAATGCCCTTCTACCCCCTGTGCCAGGGCGTTGATTTCAGCAGTGGTGTGAAAGCGGGGAATGTTATTTCTAGCTGCATCTTTGAAGTAACATGTAGTGTGGCCATGATGGAATTCCAGACACAGGTGGGACAGGCAGCACAGCTGGCTGGTTGCAGCAAGCTGAAAAAAGTGGCGCACACACCTTCCCTCTAAATCAACAGGAAGAAGATGCTGGAATCGTTTCTCTCCCCCCCTTTGACAGCTTTGGCAGCCCTTAGATCAGCCTTCTTCAACCCAATGCTCATGAGATGTGTGGGATAACAGTTCTCAGCATCTCCCAGCCAGCTGGGGAGAGCTGCATTAGACATTGCCCCTAAGCAATGTAAGCAGTGTCTGACAACCCAATAACCCGTCCACAAGGGTTGAGTATGGGTTAGGGCGGGTTGTCATTGCATGTGAATAGTTGTTGAAACATGAGTTATGTTGTATGAACCTAGCTGAGCAAACCAACAACAAACAACACACAATTCACAACCCAACAGTAAACTACAGTTTCTCTTCATGGGTTGTTTTGTGGTTAACAAACTATGGTTTACTGGTATAGCTAGGTTCAGATGACAGTCCTGTGCCACCATCCCAGATTTAACTCTTTCTGCCCCCTTTCCCTCTAGCCAGCAGTGGAGGCGGTGGAACCGACTTTTTCGGAGGAAATGCCGTGAATTGGTGAAGTCCAAGTTATTCTATTGGTTAGTTATCCTGGTTATTGCCTTGAACACCTTCTCAATAGCCTCTGAGCATCACAATCAACTTGACTGGATGACCTATGCTCAAGGTGAGCTGGGCATTCCATTTTTGGGAAGTTCTCAGGTTCTGATGAACAAGGTGCCATTCTCTGATATTGTCAGTCCTAAACTTTGTAGCTCGATCCTATTATGATCTTCTGCAGATTTTTTTTTAGTGCCCTGATCTCACCAAAGCTCATGGTGATCTCTTACACATCACCCCAATGAGGAAATGCATCACTACCAAAGAAAACAGCAATTTGCATAGTATCTGTGCATGCAACTGCTTGTGAATAGGTGCAAATTTATAAATAATTGCTGTAATTTAAACAGAAATGCAACATACCTTATCATGGTGATGAAGAGAGCTGTCCAGATGCTAACTGCTGATTGGCAGCTTCTAGGTCTCTGCTATTCTCTTTTCTTAGGATTCATTAGTTTTAAACCAGACCTGGATGAAACAACTCTTCAAACAGAGGACACTTCCAGATAGAAGGGTGTCCTCTGCAGCTCTGCTAAATAGAGAACTGACCTTTGTAAAAGAGGTTATTCCATCCCAACTGCACCCCTATGCCAGTTTACTTCCTGTCCCATCTCTCACTGGAATATATTCAGTTTTCACCTTGCCTTTTGTCTTAAAATAATCTTTTTACCCCTTAGAGCCAAACTTTTACACTTAGGACCAAATTTCCTTGCATGTAAGTTGCATGCTTTTCAACCATAACATTTTTCCTCATTGAAAAGCAGCCTTGGGGTCAAGTCTTGGGAATGATAGTGCAGCAACAAAGTCAGATTAAGCCAACAAACTGCTGGAAATAGGAAAAAACTGAGCTGCCCCTTCCACCACCACCCCAAAACACACACACACACACACACACACACACAGCCTGTCCATATGGCTGTCCCTAAAGCTGATTTTCAGTTAAAACATAGTCAGGGGAAGAACCATAGAATGACTGTGCACAATGGGTAGTTGGATCCTTTCACATGCTGTTTCAGGTTGCTGTTATCCGAGGGCTGGATGGGCTTCTTCCTAGCAGAGAGCAGAGCTGTGTGTTGTGAAGAAAATACTGATGGGCTCTTTCCTCACCCTCCCTCTCTTCCTCTCTCCCTGATTTGGAATTAGGCTCTTGGAAGCCCCTTCAGAGGAGAACGTGTCCATTCATCACTGACTTGGCTTTTTGCTTACAGATGTTGCCAACCGGGTGCTTCTGGCCCTCTTTACCATAGAGATGATTCTGAAGATGTATGCCCTGGGCTTCCGTCAGTACTTCATGTCGCTCTTCAACCGCTTTGATTGCCTGGTGGTGTGCACGGGCATCCTAGAGCTCATACTGGTGGAGATTGCCTCCATGACACCCTTGGGCATCTCTGTTTTGCGGTGCATTCGTCTGCTGCGGATCTTGAAGATAACTAAGTGAGTAGCCCCTTGAACAGTGCCCTTGAACAGTGTGTCCACAGTATTAGCATTTCTGAAGTTCTGCTTCCAATAGCCATATTCCTCTCAGATTACAGAGGTTCACTATCAGAGCTCAGATTACAGAGGTTCACTATCTACCATTTACACAGCACTTGATAAACAGATCTTTATGTGATAAATAGAACAGGTCTTTATCTGTTTATCAGTTTATCTGTTCTGCAGTCTTATCTCCTTAGTTCTCCTTACTTCTTTTCAGTTCAGAGGTTTCAAAGTCTGGGCCAAAACTGATATCACTTTAAATCTGGATCTAATATTTTATGTCTTCTCTGTTTTCATTCTAGAGTAGATGCAGGGTTCCCAATCTGCATTGGATTGAGGGACCTTTAAGATTTGGATCAGGGCTTTACCATCTGTTCTACAGTTAAAAAAAGAACAGAATGAAGCAACTTCTAGGCATAGTTTTAAATTAATTTCTCTTTGGGCTCTCATTATATACATTTACTGAGGCTGAGAGCAAGGAAAGCTGATATTCTTTCAGGATATCAGTCTTATAGCTGTTTCTATCTATCTCTGTTCTCTATTTAAGAGAAACACACATTGCCTCTGCGTTTTACATCCTCGTATGTACCCTAAGATTATGCTTTGGTTTCATACCCGTCTGTTTTGTCCAGGTCTTCTAAGATCTCCCTGAACTTTTATGAACCCTTTACTAGTCTTGACACAACACTGTCAACTTCATTACATTACTGTATGTGCAGTCACTTTCAGGATGGTGATGGTCATAAGACACATGGCAACATGCTTGCCCTTTTCAGTGGCTGCTCTCTTACTGTTGAGGAAACCTAGATTCATTCTCTCTTTGCTGTCCTTCTACCAGCAGGAAAGAATGCTTTCTTCCAGCAGGTATTTAATACATAAGTGGGTCTGTTGGATTGGAAACTACTTCCCTGTTGTTGTGTTTTAATTGCTTCTAATTCAGAGACTCATAGAACAACTGGGTCAGAAGGGGCCAGGAAGGCCATTGACTCCAACCCCCTGCTAGTGCAAGACACCAGCTATACCATCCCAATTAGATAATAATCCATTTTTAATTTTTTGTTCTGTTTAAGGCATTTGCTTTATAACAGTTTTTATCCAGTTTTATTAGGGGGTGTAAGCTGCATGGAGTGCTATTTTTGGTTAAAAAAGAGTAGGGCACCATTCAAATCAACCAACCAATCATCCTCAGTGCATCTGTAGCCAGAAGCAGTGATCTGCCAAAAGCAGTTCAAATATTCCTTGGCTGAACTGATGATTGAAGGCTCTTCTAACCTGATATCCTGACAATTAGTCATAGGCCCATACTAAGCCTGAGTAGATTGGAAGTTCAGGTAGTTGAGTGAAGGATGAGAGAGTTTCTCACGCAGCCAGAGTGATCACCCCACAGAATGCTATTGAACCTGCTGAGCAGCTGTAACGAATCTATTAAGCTAAATGTCTTATGGCTGTTGTCATCTTGAATATGGCTACACACTGTCCACAGTATTCAAGATGACTACCATCATGCTGGAACTAGTTTTTACTTCTTATAAGTGGTGGCTGTCATAATAGCAAGTTATTTATTTACTATGAAATTTCTGCTCTGCAACCAATTAGTCCAAAAGCAGGCTACAGAGTAAACATAAAACAATAATATACACAATATGAAATAAACCAATAATATAAACAAAAGCAATAAACACCATTTATAACAATATGCACTGCACGACAATATACAGCTGAGAGTAGGACAGTACATAAGACGTTAAAACAATATGGGTTAACATTCTAAGAAAGGTGTTGCTTTTGCCTGGCACCGCAAAGATTGTAAAGAAGGCGCCAGGTGAGCTGCTTTTGGGAGGCTATTCTGTAAGTGGGGTGTAGCCACTGAGAAGGTCCCTCTTCTGTTAGCCCATCCTTCTTTACTCCTTGGAGGATGGCTCTCTCAGAAGGGCCTCCTCATCCAATCGTGGGGATTGAGAAGGTACAAATTGGAGCAGGTGGTCCTTCAAATATGCTGGTCTCAAGCCATGTAGGGCTTTATATGTTAAAACAAGCAGGTGATTCACATTCCTTCTTTTAGCCAGTAAGTGATACTTCATAGCTTGGTCCCAAGAGATGTAAGTGTCCTGACATCTTCACAAAAGTTTGCACAGATCAGCATCATTATCTTCTTCTTGTGTGTCTCTCTGTAGGTACTGGACCTCCCTAAACAACTTGGTGGCCTCTCTGCTGAACTCTGTACGCTCCATTGCCTCCCTCCTCACCCTCCTTTTCCTCTTCATTGTCATCTTTGCCCTGTTAGGGATGCAGCTTTTTGGAGGGAGGTTTGACTTTGATGATATGATAATCCGACGTAGCACATTTGATAACTTTCCCCAGGCTCTCATCAGTGTCTTCCAGGTAAAACTCAAGGGATTAATTGCCCATTTATGCACACTGACCTTACTAAATTCTAGAGTAAATGGATGACACATCAGGATTCCTGGGATATTTTCTGAGATCTGGAAAAGTAGGAGGCCTTATTTTGGGCATAACAAAAGGGGCTGTAATTCTTGGGTTCTCTTCTCAGTTTTAAGACATAATTCAGTGTCAGTTCTTACAAAACATATTGCCTCCTTCTAGGTTCTGACTGGGGAAGACTGGACTTCCATTATGTACAATGGGATTATGGCTTATGGAGGGCCAACCTATCCTGGCATGTTGGTCTGCATTTATTTCATTATTCTCTTTGTCTGTGGAAACTGTATCCTTTCCTTAGGTTGTGTTCAATTATCATTGGTCTGCTAGGTGGAAATATCTATTAACAGAATAAGGTAAAATTCTTCATCATGAACTGGAATTGTCAACTGAGTACTTCGATAAATCCTTATGATTTTGAATGAGCAGCAAATTAATCACGTGCTTCAAAATATGAGCTAGCCATGAGTGTACACAGGAAAGCAATAGCGAAATGTTCCTGGTAGGTTATTTTGCCTACTGTTTCTATATATGAAAATAGGACTGTGTATCACACGAGCTGATTGCCCAGTCTGGAGGCAGGATGTGCAACTGGGTGGATAAGATCCATAGTGTATAAATTTCACATCACTGGACTGAACAAAAGACAGTATGTTCACTTGCTTCAGAAAATTAGTGTGGGCAGCTACGGGCAGGATGCATCCCCTTATTGGGATGAAGCCCTAACAAGGATGTTCAGAGCCCAATTCAAAACATTTGCCTAAATCCACACTGTAAAATTCCTTAGCCCTTCTCCGCTCATCCCAGACATCTTGCTCAATGTCTTTTTGGCCATTGCTGTGGACAACCTTGCTGAGGCTGAAACACTGACTTCTGCCCAGAAAGCCAAAGCTGAAGAGAAGAAGAGGAAAAAGTTGACCAGGTCAGTCCTGACTCCTGCTGGTCATGCCATGAGCAGCTTCTGAGCCCTGCTCCTCTCCGTGGGAGACGAAAAAGGATGCCTTGCTCAACTCTGTGGTTTTCCTCCCCCTTGGCTTCACTTCCCTCTCCTCTTGCTTCCTTGGTTCTCCCCTCTAGAGGCTATCCTGAGAAATCTGAAGAGGAAAAACAGATGTTGGCTAAGAAACTGGAACAGAAAGCCAAGGGCGAAGGAATCTCTACCACTGCCAAGGTCTGTCAAGGGCAACAGCTATCAGTGCCATCCTTTAAAAAGAAAGTTTAGATGTTTATACACATAATTGGCTTGCAATGCAATTAAAAGAGTGTTTTGATTGCAACAACAATTAAAACATTGCATTTAATTGTAATGCAATGAAAGCACTCCAGAAGAAGTAACAATACTGTTACAGGCAGTCCAGTTTTCTGAGCAGTGAAGAGTTTTCAGCAGCGTGGCACTTACCAGGTTTCTTTTTGACAAGATCTCGAGAATGAGTGTCCCTGGCTTTAAAAAAAATCCCTGGATTGTTAGGATACGGGAACTGGGCCAACATAATAGTTACACACATTTACCATACAAGAAATGCCTGAGAAGCTTTCTGCATTTTTGCACACTTTTGCTTTCTGCTCAGTGGCCCTTCCCTCTGGTTCCCTGCTCTAGAATTAACCCATAGCACCATCCAGCTGGTGGCTATGAGGTCAGAACCGCAGTGCTGACCTTTCTTTGTTTCCTTTCTTCTGTTCAGTTGAAGGTGGATGAGTTTGAATCCAATGTCAATGAAATCAAGGACCCCTATCCCTCTGCTGACTTCCCAGGTAAGGAAGTGTCGGCTCTGTTTGTCTCTTCCATTCCTATCACAAGGATTACAAGAAGAGGCTTCTGGCTGGCTGATGCTTACTATGCTATCATGCCATGGGAACAGTGTGTTTGTGGGCCAGTTTCAATCAGACAGGTGTCACTGTATGTGCAGTGGATGTTGGATTCCAACACAGCTAGGAATGTAGAGATACCATAAGTTGCATTGCTGCCTTAGAAAGGCTGTTCCTATTGCATCTTCTCAAGGTGCATTTAATGGTAGAGTCTCTGTAGAAAAGAGCAGAAAGAAGTTCTAGCCTTCCCCAACCTGTCTCTCTTCAGATGTACTACAACTCCCATAACCCCCAGCCAGTATGACGGTTGTTTCTGACACATTGGAGAAGCCTCCCTTATAGCAATGCACAGCTGCAGGGAAGTGAGTGTGTATGTTCTAGGGCAGGAACGTACAACATACAGGCTACAGGCTACACGCAGCCTGGGACATCCACAGCAACACCTGCCTCAATTTTCTTTTACAAAAAAATTGCAAACAACATGGCACTCCATAGCAGCTGTTTTCAGTCATGGAAGTGATAAAAGATTTCTTTGGGAATGCACTTGCCTGAATGGTGTCAGGTTCAAGCCCTGAAGATCATCAACCAGCTCCTATCCCCTTGTGTGATTCTACCAGTAGTAGCCAGTGGCTGGCTTTACAGGGGAAATGAGTTAGGAGGCTCATAGGAGGGAAGAGACTCTGGTTTGATCTGGGAACAAAACCGCTGTGATGCACAAGCCCTACCTTTTACTGCAAGAGAAAGAGAGGGAGGAGGAGGAGGAGGAAATTGGTCTGCATTCTATAATTTGGAGCTCTTCTTCTAACCCACCTGGCTCTACCCAAAGCATAAGGTCATAGGGCCAACCTAGATATGATGCTAAATATGTGTAAGCATTTAATGTGCCTTAATGTTTTTGTCATTAGGAGTAGGGTCTAGATTGGGATTGGAAAATGCAGGGAGAAGGACTCTAATCTCCCTCCCCATATCCTGGTCTTGATTAAATTTACTCCCCTCTCTGTGTTTCACCCTTGAAGTGAATGGAATAGTTTCTCCCATGGTGCTTAGGATCTTAGGAGTGCAGGTGGGCTGATTTCCATTAAGACCATGGAATGTAGGGAAGGGTTAAAACCCCCACCTGTGTATTTTAGAATCTCAGTCATGTTATCACTACCCACAACTTTTGTTCCAAAAAACAAATTTGGTCATGCATCTAGTTTTTTCCTTGAAAGTTATAATTTGGGGATGAAGTAGTTAAGTCTACAAGTTCAGAATCACATAGGGCAATGCCTGAACAAATATTGAATAAAGGAAAATGGAAGTGTTTATATCATTGCTTAAGTATGTGAGATACTATAGTGGTAAATGTTCAAGGATCCTGCTGGTACCTGAAATGAAAAGCCAAATGATATGTTATGTTAATTGCATAGCCTGTAGCTGATGCTTACCTTTCCAATCTAGCATAAGTGTGCATAGCCTTAGTGTGGATTTCAACAACCATAGTCTGGGAATGGAGGATTAAACTTTCTCTTCACATAATGTTTTTCCTCCGAAATTTTTCCCTACAAGGAGGGGTGAACAAAAGAAAAGCAGTCTCCACTGACACCAATGGGAACATCCTCTTTCATTTTTATAAACAAATCACCAGGAAGTGGGCAGGCTAATTCTGGGGGGAAATGGTAGTGACTGGAAAGATTTTCCCAGGCAAGGGGGCTTCAACTTGAATCAGGGCTCGGGGTGCAAATTAAAAAAGAAAACATTAAGCCATATACCTGTCCCACACACTACGCAATTTGTGTAACATGTAGTTTGGCTCCAACCTGACAAGGCTAGTAGTGGCTGGTCCATTGAACACAACAGCACTAGCTAACAGGGATGGCTGACAGTGGCATTTAAAGCCTTTGAGAGGTTTCTGGATTTGCAAGTAGCGAAAAAAAAACTCTTCGGATTGGAAATGTTTGTGACTGACTGTGTGCCTTTCAGGTGATGATGAGGAAAATGAGCCTGAAATCCCCCTGAGCCCAAGACCGCGCCCCCTTGCAGAGCTGCAGCTGAAAGAGAAAGCAGTGCCAATGCCAGAAGCCAGTGCATTCTTCATCTTCAGTCCAACCAACAAGTAGGCCCAGTTCTTCTCCCTTTTAGGTGGCCGTGCATGACAGAAGCAGAATCGGTTTCTGAACTGACAGTAAGCCCATTGCCACAGAGCATCCACTGTGGAGATCTAACATGGAATGGTTGCCACCAGACATAAGTTCCTATCTGTCTAGATTTGCTCGGTTTCAGAGATGAAATCAGCAAAAATGCCTTCACACCCCTTAGTCTTCACATTTTCCCTGAATGAATGTCAGAACTGCACGTGAGAAGGTGCTGACATAGAGCAGTGAATATGCTATAACTTACCCGTTCCTATCATGGGAGAGCCACTGCGGCATAATGGTCAGAGCGGTGGACTAGGGACCCAGGTGGTGTTCCAACTTGCCCAAGAATCCTGCATTTACCATAAGTGTATGTAGCAATCCACTGCTCAGCATGGCAAAATTATGTGTCTAATTTGGTTCCAGCCCACTGCAGACTCATAGAGAGCCTCTGGGTAACAGATTCTAGCCTCCTTTTAGTGGTACAGTTTATTGGGGTTCAGCACTGCTACAGCGCTATTTTGATTCCAATCATTAAAATCTTGGTGGCTAGAAAGGCACCTGCTCTGATCTCATCTCATTGGTCCTGGCCAACATACAAATGGGAAACCAGTTGGGAGTCCCATGTCTGCCACTCTGAACCCTTGGATGAAGAGCAGGTACAAATGTAATAAGTACATAGCACGGCTACCCTAGAGCACATAGGAAGGAAATGTGTTCTGTTTCCCTGCTAGGGTGACTTACCTGGTGTTATCTCCTGGCCAAATTCTAACTCCCATTCTGGTGCTTTTTAGACTACAGACAATGTTCCTTCAGTAGACTATGAGCTTTCCTGAATCTTTTTCTTTCCCTGCCTTGTCCTCTTCAGGTTCCGTGTGCTGTGCCACCGAATTGTCAATGCCACCTGGTTCACCAACTTCATCCTGCTCTTCATCCTGCTCAGCAGCATCTCACTGGCGGCTGAAGATCCAATACGGGCTGTATCCTTCAGGAATAAGGTGACCAGAACATCATGGCCATGCTATTAGCATGGTTCCTGTGGATTGTCCGGAGTGATTCATGAGAAGCATGCATGCACTCTTGCTTCCTCTTTAGTGAAAACTGCTTGGCATGAATTTGCTAAGAGGCAATAGATAATTTAGTGACTGGTTTGGTTGCATAGCCAGAAGTGTGGCTTCTAGATCAAGAGAGGTGTTACTACCACTCTATATGACTCTGGTGCACCCACAACTGGAGTATTGTGCTCAGTTTTGGGCCCCTCATTACAGGAAATGCATTGACTCTAACCCCTCATAGCCAGGTTAGAGTCAGTGCAGCGTAGGGGCACAAGGTTGGTGGCTGGTTTGCAGGGGATGCCGTATGAGGCAAGACAGAGGGAACTGGGTCTCTTCAGCCTGGAGAAGAGGAGACTTAGAGGGGATATGTTGGCTACATACGGGTATATGAGGGGATGTCACATGGAGATGGGTAGAGACCTGTTTTCCCCTGCAGAGGAGGGTAAGACGTACTCCAACGGAGCAAAGCTCAGGGCACCAAGGTTCCATTTAGATACCAGGAAGCACTTCCTGACAGTTAGGACCCCGAGGGTGTGGAATGGGCTTCCACGAGAGGTCGTTAAGGCCCCATCGGTGAGGGTGTTCAAAGATAGGCTGGACATGCACATGGTGGGCATGTTGTGAGTGGAGCTGGCTGGTGCCGGAGGTCAGACTAGATGGCCCTGAAGGCCCCTTCTGACTCGCTCTGTTTCTATGTTTCTATGTGTGGATGGTCCATGAACATTTAGGAAGCTATTGCTTCCACTGCAACTAGCTATTCCTCATGAAAATGTACACAAAGCTTTCCATGCATTTATTTATATATATATATATATATATATATATATATATATATATATATATATATGAGAGAGAGCGAGAGAGTCAGTCTTGTTAGTTTAAAAACAATCCACAATTTGTGTGTTATGTTAGCATCAATTCTGTTATAAAATGTACTCATTACCCTTTTGCCTGGCACTTAAGGAGATGAACAATAATATAACCATAAGCAAAAATACAACTAGCAACAATCATTTAAAAACATGTGATCAAAACAGGTCTCTGCTTTTATTGTTGGAGTACATTCAGCTGCAGTATAATCAAATCTGATTTAAAATGCTTGAGCGAAGAAAAAGGTTTAGAGAGCATGCTTAAAGCTCAAGAAGGAGGTTGTGCTGCAAGTTTCTTTAGGGAGCTCACTGATGCTACTACTAATAAAGCCCTGCCCACATACTACTAGATTGCTTACTTCTTAAGGAGCAGACACTCAGAACATTTGAAATTACAGGTGCAAAGATGTATGGTAGTAATGAATGTATGGTTAATGCTATGGTCCTGCAATCTTTTAACCTGGAATTAAGTCACACCCTCTCTCTCTTTGTGTGCGTCTGTACATACACACACAGGAGAGCCAGCACTGACCTGGGACTTGGGAGACCCAGGTTCTAGTCCCTACTGGCCCATCAAGCGCACTGATCAATTTTGTGCCAATCACTGACTCTCACTGTCACAGGGTAATTGTGAGGATAAGGTAGAGGGGAAGAGACCGTGTAAGGTACCTGGCAATGGTTAAAAAAGTGGAGTATATAGTATGCATCATAATAAATAAATACTGCATACTGTGCTTGGGTTTTATATGAGTTCTTGAAAGAGCCACAATTTAATTGTACTGACAATATCTTTTTCTTTGTGGGCTTTGTCTCCAGATTTTAGAGAAATTTGACACTGTCTTCACATCTGTATTCACTGTTGAAATCATTCTGAAGGTAAGTTACAACTATTCTCATATGGGTTGCATCTTCACAGGACTGGATGCACCTATTATCTGCATTTTTCAGGAATGGAATTACATTGAGGGATTTAAGGTCCCTCAATGAGGCAAGCAATACATGAGCATCAATAAAGCAGCCTGCCCCAACTCAGTACCCTTCAGATGTGTTGAACTATAAGTTGCACCATATCTCATTGGCTATGTTGTCTGGGAATAATGGGAGTTTGAAGGGCTTCAGGTTGGCGAAAGATGTTAAACTGCATGCATGCCATTTGTATTCAACCCAATAGGCAAAGCTCCCTGGGCAGTTTACAAAGATTACTGCTTTTTGAACTTCTCTTTTTCATACTGAATGCCACCCTGAGAATTTTTTGTTACAGGGAGGGCTAGCAGTGGCTGTTCATTTAACAGCCCTTTCAAGCATACAAAAACACATGGACACAGAGGAGCTCAGGATAAGAAATATAGACAAAATACAGATCGTGACTTTGCTGTGTGATAGTCAAAGACGGAGATGGATAGAAATTTACAGGAGTCATAGAAAAATAAGCAGTCTTAAGGGATGAGATATGGGGGTTCACATGGACAATTTCACAGATTGGCACAGAATCAATTCCTGCCACCATCTTGGGATGTCAAAATGTTGTGCATATTGTGTCCCCTTTTGCTTGTGATGAATCAGTCACTTGGATAGCCACCAGTATAGATAGCCAATAGTCTTAAATTCAGGTGTGCCAACTATTTGTGCTCAGCATGAACTTCACTTCCTTAGACACCTGCTTCCAACATGCCCACATGGTCTTCAGAATCTGACCACTGAAAGAAGCGCTTCCTCCTAGAAACTGGAGAATACAAAACTGGATCTATCATGAAATAATCTAGTTTTCTACGCCCCACAGATGACTGCTTATGGTGCTTTCCTTCACAAGGGGTCCTTCTGTCGCAACTATTTCAACATTCTGGACTTGGTTGTTGTTGCTGTGTCCCTCATCTCCATGTGGTTTGAGTAAGTATGGATGAAAGGGCAGTAGGTCATTCTTGGATGTTTTGTGGATCATGAACTAATGGCCAACAGCACCATCTCTAGAGGGGAGCAAGATAGTACTGGCCATTCTGTCTTGGAAGTTACAGTGAGACTATGGGAAATGATGATATGAAGAGTGCATCTGTCTTGTCAAAGTGCTCTCAGACCTCAGCTATGCAGCCAAACCTGCTTGTCTGAGATCTTGATCAGACCTCTGTGGTTCCCCAGCAGCCATAGCCTCTTCCTCTTTCCTCCGACACCTAATGGCTGGGTGATTTCCATCTGCTAAAGTTTAGTTGCTGGCAGTAAGGGCTTCAAGCTAAAATGTATGTGTCTTTTTCTGACCCAGTTCTGTTTTGCTTCAGCTGAAAAGTGGCCCCAGGGAGTTCCTCCAGAATTGAATTCAGCCCTTAAGCTGAAGGAAGTTCAATAGCCCTGCTGCAGAGTAAGGAGTACTCTGAAATATAAGAAAGATATTTCTGAGAGAATACAAGGAAGTTTTTATATAGATAACTCCATGTACCCTGTAAACACCAATGCAGGAGCTACGAGTACATAGGGTGGGAAACGCTGAAGCTACCAGAACTGAAGATAAAATTCACATTCAGTGTTATCAGTCAGTACACTGACAATCAAATAACTGTTCTCCTTCTCCACCCCTCCAAAAAAAGATTATGATGGAATTGGAGATACAATCAGCTCCTATAATGTAATCCACATGGCTGGCTAAGTAAGAGTTTTAGAAGCTACACAGTTCTGCCTTTTCCCTCCACTCTTTGCTACACAAAGCTCCTTCCAATATCCACTGTGGATGGTTGTGTCAGCTGGTGGCAATATCAGGGAAAGTGTATGGATACTCAGAGTGTGAGGTTTGTCTGCCAAACCTCACGCTCTCTGAACATATGTTTAGCTTAGTAATACAGGAATGGACATTTGGATTAAAACAGTGTTTTTTTGACACTACAAATTCTATGCTTTGAAATAAAACTTACCTTTTGAGCCAGAGGACTGGGAGTTTATTCAGGGTCAAACTGGATGTGTCAAAGCAGGGAAAGAGCGACGGTGCTCTTCTCAAGAATTTTCTCAAGCCACCCTGGTAGTTAGAAAGTCCTATAAAGTTCTCTGGCACGCATTCTTATTCACAATTGTGCCCCCCTAATTCCATCTCTAGAAACAATGTAAAGACCATATCATGATGAGGTGATCTTGCAGTTTCACTTCTGTTTTTTAAAGAGCACTTTCCTGGGCTGTATTAGAGCAGGGAAAATTGAGAATATTTCTGAAAGTGAAATAATATTTTTTCTACTTGTGTAATTGTGATACTTTGCTATAGTACAGTGCCACCTAGAGGTTATGTAGCAGAAAAACATGAAAGGACAAACTGTGTAGAGCTCGGATTTCAGTTCTGTGGCAAAGCTGAAAGCAGACCCAGTGATTAACAGCCTCATGTAAAAAGGCTCATGATGCTTTTGTGGACAAAGGTTTGAAGCACATTAAAGATCTTTCTCCTGTCATGCAACAGGTCCAGTGCCATCTCAGTGGTGAAAATCCTAAGGGTGCTCAGAGTGCTGCGACCACTGAGAGCCATTAACAGAGCAAAGGGGCTAAAGGTGAGCATGGTCATGGGCAGTTTCTCCTCTATTAGATATTCCAGGAATAAGTATGATACTTTAAGCTGGTAGCATGCCTTGAAAAACATCAATGAATTAGGCAAAGCAATCTTTACTTATTCTTATATGTTGCTGGTTATTGGGGATTTGGATATTAAGACAATCCAGAAAGTCACAGTGAGGATGGGCAGATAAAATCCATCCAGTTGACTAATCTGTCTCCCTTTCTATCTCTTTAGCATGTGGTCCAGTGTGTTTTTGTGGCCATCAAGACCATTGGCAATATTGTGCTGGTTACCTTCTTGCTGCAGTTCATGTTCGCCTGCATTGGGGTGCAGCTCTTCAAGGTGAAAATATTTCCTAGATAGAATGAATATCCATCGTGCCCTATCCCAAGAGTTTGCAATTAAGAGTTTGTTTGCTTAAATCAGGATAGTTGTGCATGGTTCCTAATGCAGGATTCAGATATTCAAGGCTATATATCCTAAGAAACAGAAATATGAAAAGTTCCCAGTTACCTTGGGATTCTCCCTTTATCATTAAATAACCTCAACAAGCTGGATTAATACCTTTATCCCATAAGCTACTTTCAAAGCAACAGAAAAAATACATAGCAGAATATCAGACTGTCTCATGAGAGGATTTCCTAGCACTTAAAGAGAAGGAGGTCCAGAATCTCCCCCCCCCCCCACTAAATCTGCCAGTTACAAACAATTCCAGACAACTTTACTGTCATAGAATGAAGGTTAGTGCTTCAAGCCCTTATTGCTGGAAGATGGGGGGGGGGGGGGGGCAGAAGGTAGCTAGTATCTCCACTTCCACCAGTTCCTCCAATGAGTAATGACTTAATTGGGAAAAAGCTTCCTTATCTCTATATAGACCAGTTGTCCTCATATGCTGTGAATTCCTTGGATAGGAAGTCTTGGAGGCAGTAAGTCTTGTAGGTGCCTCTGTTATTGTTGATGGTTATGGAGCCTGGATATGAGGGACAGTTTTGGTTTGTATTATAGATTCAACTGGGCAATCTGCATAGAGAATGTGTGAGAGGTCTGTATAGGGACAATTGAGTTGAAGGCACTCAGGGACAGTTAATGATAGTCTACAAATGCATACATGGAGGGAGCCACACAATAAAGCCATTGTCATGAGGTTTCTTGCCATCAGTGTATGAATCAAATGGGCAAGATCTTAGCCTCATCCAAAGCTGTTTGAAGTACTGCAAGGTTTTGGGTCATGCACTTCAGCTGCAAGGGCAAAAATACAACATTCTCCATCAAGAATTGCTGCTTCCTCTCCTCCAGCAGTAGATACAACAGTAGGCTGCAGCATAGCTGGGGATGTTCCTTTTTCAGAGAGCTGGAATTTAAAAAAGCCACAGTTCCTGAACAATTAAATAATTGTTCTGACCTCTGTTTAACTGCAGGGAAAATTCTTCAGCTGTACTGATCCAACCAAGTTGATCGAATCTGAATGCAGGTGGGCCTCCTTGGTTATATATCATACCTTTCTACCATACAGAACAGTATAATCACAGAGTGGAGGAAAGCAGAGGTCCAGACTAGTTATGGCACTAAATGTGCTGCTGCTGCTGATGACAACGATGATGACGACGACAGTGGCAGCCACACATTTAGCTTCTTCATCTCCAGGGCTGGTGTAAGGAATAGGCATGTCTGAGCACTGGCTGCAGCTCCACAGCCCCCTGGAGCGAGCTGCTCCCCCTTTTCACCATTGCAGCTGGCTTGTTCACTGGCTTCCCGCTGTCACTCAGACAGTGGTGGTGAGAAGGAGGACGCACAGCCCACTGGCTCCCTGGCCTTCCCTATCCAGCCAGCAAGAGATGAAATGGTGTGAGAGGGAAGGAGCAAGAGTGCCCACAGACAATGGGGGTGGGAAAGCAGACTCGGGTGAAATAGGGGGCCTATTGAGGGGGTGGTCCCCAAAAGCCCTCAAAAATCTGAGGCTGGCATTGTCCCTCTCCTTCATAATAGAATGCACTTCAAGCAGTCCCAATATCATTTTGATAGTCTGTACTAATATACTGCATTCCACTCACCACATTCCTTCATTTCCATGGGCTGCAATGTAGGTGGGGCAGAAATTGAACAGAATCTTTTAGATATTACCAAGTTGGAAGCACTTCCCAGTTTTGGTTGCAGCTACATATTTTGTTAGCTGTTTGACAGCTAATTTGGCCATGAAGAACTGGGTGTTCAGGACTTCCTATGTAACCCATTGAGCTCAAGACATTAGTGTGTACTTCTGTTTTAAAACTTGTGATTTGTGCTTTTGGGAGATGCCCTTACTAGTCTGTTTTGGATCTGGTTTTGCTTTGCACTTTGGATTTTAAGATGTAGTAAACATTCCTTCAGATTCCCCATCATTAACAATACAACAGTAACAGTAAACAATAAGCCAGAGGGCTTATTACAAAGCCAGAAGGGTAAATTCTAGCACAATATACTAAATCTCCTAAGCCAGGGATATTATTTCATATGCCTAAATAAATGCTACCTACATTTCCCTTACAATTTCCTTAAAAATCCAACATGAAGAAATTTTAATGGCTTCCATAGGCAACTGGCTCCCATTGCCCAGTAAACCATTTTATATTTTTTTCTAACTTTTGACCTAGTAAAATAAATCTTTCTGCTGCTTTCTTTTTAACAAAACCCCAGATATGCAGAAAATCATGAAATTTAATTATTTTCAAATGTATCAGTCAAAAGTGACTGAACTGGAGCAAATTTCTTTTTCACTGTAGTGAAATCAAGAGTGAGTAACTGAATCAACAGGAATAAAATTAAGGCTGTAATCCTATGCATATTTTCCTGGGAATAAGTATCCATTAAACTCATGAAAACATACTTTCAGCGAGGCATTCATGGGATTGCATTGCATTCAGGTATAAATTCATGAAAGGTGCAGGTTCCTCGTCTGTGACTAACACAACGTTTTTCATCCCAGGGGACATTTCATCACCTATGTTGATGCTGATCCAACGCAGGTTGAGGAACATGAGCGGATGTGGATCCACAATGATTTCCACTTCGACAATGTCTTCTCAGCTATGATGTCTCTCTTCACTGCATCCACTTTTGAAGGATGGCCTCAGTGAGTGCAGGACCCAGCATGGGGGTCGGGTGCAAGGTGGGCTGCAAGGAATATTTAGAGGAATTAGTCGGTAAGCCACTTTTGCTAATTGGCTTGGCTACAGTGTGCAAGCAAAGCAGCTCAGGAAGGAACTTCTTAGAGCTGTGCCAAGAATTATCCCACATTTTTCCCAACCGTTCTCATTCAATTTGATAAAGCAATTGGCTTTGAAAATAAATTAAAAGGAGAAGAACATTTTGGACAAATAATATGAGTAGTGTTTGGGTTTCTTGAACTGACCTTCTTTTGGAAGTGGCTGAGAAGTGTGCACAATGGTCTTTCTCTCCGGCAGCCTCTAACCTCCTCATGCTGCCCGCAGTTCCGTGGTGAAGGCCCTTGAGGCGATTCCTCCCAAAGGGCATTTTTCAGATCAGAAAGCTCAGGCAGCCTGGAAGGCTGCAGGGCGATGGAGGGATGTGCAACAGAAAGAAATACACATGCAAGACCCTTGGCTGCCTTGCAGCCATTCAGTAAGCTCAAAAATACATCATAAAAGCTCCTGGAAATGAGGAATAAACAATGGAAACCTTTTTCATGGGGAAAGAAAGCTTCCAGGAAATTGGAGAATAGCTGCTGGCATAGCACTAGCTCTAGCTTTGCTGTGGAGCAGGAGACAAACCTGTCTCCCTCACTTCTGCACTGTAATGAATGCAAAATGGGGGCCAACCTGGCAACACAACTAATGCTGCTCCCACTTGTAGGAAGAGTATAAAACATCCCCAAACTCCTTACAAAGAGGAAGGAAGTTGTGCTACATTCCTGTTGCGAATCCTACGTTTTAGAAACCTTTGGAATTTCTCCTTACCTTGGAGAAACGCAGTAAAAATGTCCTCCCAGCTATTTTGCCCAGAAATAAGGTGGAGAATTAGTGCACAGCCTAATTTCATGCATATCACGAATGATGCTATTGGCTAAGGGGTCAAATCTGACTCCCTGGGGTTTCCCAGAAAGCTCCCCCATTCCCCTAACTACTGATTCTTTGATCATTTCCTAGTTTTGTGCACTTTTACCACATTCTAAAGTCTGAAATGCCTTCCTTGAGAGTTGGTTCCCAGCAGTAAGACCTTTAAGTTAAAATATGCTGAGTTGCATTTTTGGTATTTTGGACCTTCCCCTTTTGCCTTCTGCCCCACTTGCTCGTAGGAGTGCAGCCCCCAAGCGCTTCTCTGAAAAGAAAGGTGGCCCTTGGGCTAAAAGGGTTATCCACCCCTGTTCCAGGCCATATGCTCTCTACCACGGCACTTAACATTCGTGTAAGCACTGCAGTGGGTGTCACAACAGAGGAGAGGAGGTCTTTCTCTGTGAGCAGGTATTGCGGTTTGACAATACCACAAAAAAGTATACTCCCACAGTGTAATTTTGAGAAAAAGATGTCCAAAGCCCATATAGCCAATAAATTATTTAACTGGTTACAAAGGGATCATTTAAGATAGGCAGGCCTTTCATAGGAGGCACTGTGGACACTGTTTCACCTGAAACCCCTTCCATGGCCACAGTGTGCCAGGCACCTCTACAGTCCAGTTTCTCAAAGCTTTTGTGTCTGTGTGTATTAATCCTGATTGCGATGCTGTCCCTTCCAGACTGCTGTACAGAGCAATTGACACCAGCGCTGAGAACGTGGGCCCCATATACAATCATCGCATGGGCATTGCCATCTTCTTCATCATCTATCTCATCCTCATAGCCTTTTTCATGATGAACATCTTCGTAGGCTTTGTCATTGTAACCTTCCAGGAGCAGGGTGAAACAGAGTACAAAAACTGTGAGCTGGACAAGAACCAGGTAGAGTACATCTGGCGAAGGGACAGGGATGGGTTGAGCAGAACCAGTTCTAGGTATTGCAGGCCTGTGCAATGAGGAGTATGAAGCATATCAGAACGACAAAGGATCGTCCTGAGATTCTAGGCCAGGGAGCCATGGCCTGATCCTGGACCAAAGTCAGGCATGGAAGTCTGCATGCTAAGTATACTGGAGTCGGAACCTTCATTCAGAAGTGGTAATTACTCTGTGTCTGGCAGTCTTTTGAACTGTGCAATAGCTTTGGTAACCTCTCTGGAATTTGGGCTGGGGAGACATTATTACAGAATGTAGCAACAACATGTAATCTCCAGTTCTTTCTATTGAAGCAGAAAGGAAGACTAGTTGATATCCTGGTACATTGTTAGGCACATGAAAGATTCAGGGCCCTGGTCAGTAGGGCAGGTATCTTAGGATATATGGTGGCCTCTGCTTCCTTTGAGAGCCTCAAAGAATGGACGAGTAGAATTCTTGCCCAGCTATGGAATGGTGCTACTGGTGCTGATAATAGCAAAGGGAGTCCTGAGGCAAGATCGTCTGTGGAAAAAGAATAGCAAAACAGTGTTCTTTTGTGAATTAGTTGCTCTCACAGCTCAAATGGATGGCTCTCACAGAAAAGTTTCATGTCTTAATTTATATCTATGTATGCACATTTAGAATAATTACTAGGATTATCTAATTCATTTTTCATCCAAATCATCTCAAATAAAATAAAGCTATCCTTTTGTACCCTGACCTAGATCATCCCAAACCAACAGAAGAGGTTTAGTTTTCTAAGCTTAATTGGCATGCAGAAAGAAGTAGAAGGGCTTTTGGAGGAGTGGGAGAGGCAGGAAAGAGATGTTGCAGCATATGGGATGCAGAGAGTCATCATCTGCCCTCCCTCTTAAAAGTTGCCCCCTGAACGGCAATTAAGCTGAGAACACCCCCCCCCCCCCCCACACACACACAACCTTCCATTGGCATCAACAATAGATTTGGGGTCCTGGGAAATAGATCTGGAGGTGGAAACTGATCCGCCCAGGCCTAGCAACCTTCTGCATGAGGTGTTGCTGCTTGTTCCAGACCCATTCCCTTAATTCGCTGTTCTAGGAAAAGCTTCTTTGCAAAAGAAAAAAGAAAAAATGTCTAGTCATTGATTTCTGACAATCCCCTGGTCCTACTTGTTGGAAAGCAATCCATTTAAACAATTTGTTTATGAAGAGACCAGGCCACGTGAAACATTTGGCACTTCTGGGCAACACCAGTAATGTCTCATTAATGGGAGAAGCTAAACACTTCGATCGATGGCATCACTTCAGCATGAATTCTGTCACCTGTCCCTTTAGCTCCATTGACCAATTTTGCCTTTCTTCTTGCTCCAGCGCCAGTGTGTCCAGTATGCCCTGAAAGCACGACCTCTGAGATGTTACATTCCCACCAACCCCTACCAGTACCAGATATGGTACGTGGTGACTTCCTCCTACTTTGAATATCTCATGTTCTTCCTGATCACGCTGAATACCATCTGCTTGGGCATGCAGGTATGGATAAGTAGTATTCCTGGCCAGCTGTGGGATGGTGCTGCTAGTGGTGGTAACCAAAGAACTGGGATCCGGACACATGGCTGCATGTAGGAGAAGAGTTTCCCTCTAGGAAGCAGTTGTGTTTAGAAATATGAGTTCAGCTTTCATCCCTTGGCTGCACATTATATATGCACAGCTTAATGGGATTGAACAGGCCTGGTGGCTGGGATCCCAGGAATATTCCGTGCATCCCAAGAACTGAAATGCAAAAAAGCAATGAGAAGCATTGCTAGAGGAAGTTTGTTGGATTAAGAGAGCTTTCCATTAGGTGCACCTCTGTCCTCTCCCTTTGACAGAGGTCTATATATGCAGCATTTCTTTCTTTATGAAGGGCTTTATTTTTAACTAAAACTAATGTTTATTAACTCATGCACTTTTCAACCACCCCTACAGCATTATAATCAATCAGAGACTATGAACCAGGTGTCAGATGTCCTCAATGTGGTCTTCACCATCCTTTTCACAGTGGAAATGATCCTTAAACTTATAGCCTTCAAAGCTAAGGTGAGTGGGTCAGGAGCAGAAGAATAAGGCTCCCCGTAGAAAGTTGGCCAGCCATCTTGCTTGCAGCAACACTCTTCAGTAGAGATACTCCAGAGAGATGGCTGGGGAGCAGTGGTGATGGAGCTTTCATTTGAATGTTTACTGCTAATAAACCATTAAAGTCAAAGGTTTCATCATCAGTTCTTGGGCTGGGAAGTTGCTGCTATTTCTTTGGAGTCCAATTTTGTATTTCTTTTCCAGGGCTACTTTGGGGATCCTTGGAATGTCTTTGATTTCCTTATTGTTGTTGGCAGCATCATTGATGTCATCCTGAGTCAGATTGATGTAAGTGTAACAAGGGCAACCAGCACCCGAGGGAGGTTTGGAGGCTGGGAATGCTTGAAAGAGGACAACCATGCAACAGAAGGGGAGGAAAAAGCAGTGGCTTCCAGCTTCTCACCAAATATGTGGGTCCCTGCATGCTTGAACAGAATGTCTGATTCACAGCAGCCATTGCACAACTCCGGCTTCCTTCTGAAGGAGATAAGAGTGTTTGTGATCCTTGAGCCGAGGGAATTTTTAGCCATCCCTTTCACAGACAGACCTGGATGAGCCTAGTAAGTACTATGAACATTGGGCATCCCTGCCAAGAAGCACCACCAAGTGGCCTGCCCTTGACCATAGCTAATGTACTGGAGATATGGCACCATACCCAAGACATTCTACCTGTCCTGTAATTTGTGTTAGTGCTCTCTATTGGCAATTGATAAGTAGTGGCAAATTTAGTACAAAACCAAGCCTTAACTGGTTTGCCTCATGGTACTTGCAAAATTTCTGCCATGGCAACCTTGCTTCAATTATCTGCTTATTATGTGTGCTTATAGTGTGACTGTCTTTATGGCAACACTTGCATATGCAAGCTGTGCTTTCTGTATACATGTGCATGGATGCTATGATATACACCAGGGTATAAGAAACATATATACCATAGGTGGAATAACATACGCATAGCTGCACTGTTCAGCATATGAGTAAATATTAATGGATTGTTCTGTCATTGTGTGCTCAGTGCACTGCGAATGCTTCCCTATATAGATAGATACATAAACAGCTTCAGGAATAGCATTTATCCAATTAGCATCCATGCCTAACTCCATATTACCAAGAAGCCCTACCGAAAGCATCAGAATCTGACAATGAACACTGCCTGCCTTTTTACTCCAGCCTCTAGAAAAACCTGCTGTGCTCTTTCATGGACTGAACATACTTTATCAATCAATGCCAGATCCTTAGAAATCACCAACGTGAAAGTTAACCTGCCGGAGGATGTTTCCAAGTCTAAGTATCCAGACCTGCCCCAAGGATATACCCATCAAGGCACAGCTGAACTTTTTCTTTTTTCCCTTCTTTGGGAATTGGATAGGTGGCATCTTCCTTGGCCTACTGGGGAGTCCCAGAATTTATATTCTAAGTTTGCAGCCATAGACTCATCCACTTTCATACTTTCTCTAAACATGGCTAAAAGACTAGGTTCTACATGGTTATGGTGCAAGAAGATTAAGTTAAATGGAATTCAGGAATGTAGACTGAGGAGGTGGAGGGCTGCCTGGGGAATTGTTTATTTTTTCACAGCAAGCAGGAGAGGATCTCACCATGGCTTCATCTTTCACTGGGGCTTTTACCTGCCACACTGAAAAGCTGCTTCCTGTTGAATATCTGTAGATTGAAAAAAAAAGCTAATGCTTGGACCATGAGTTTCATAAAATACACTCTTATCATCCCATGGTGCTGGCAGGATCACATAGCTCTGTTCTGGTTCCATGAAAATCAAAGGCATTTCTGGTGCTGCTGTTTCTCAGGACATTCTATCTTTACTGAATCCCAGGACATAATATGGTTGGTTTCTAAACTTTGTCATTATTCTCCTTACTGTCTTCTCTATCTCTTCTTATTCCCTCCTTCCTTCTAGTCCATGTTTTGTTTCATTTATGTGTATACTGGTGTATAATAGACTCCCTGCTCAGTTAGTTGTTTAGATGAACTAACAAACTTTGTGTTACAGTCTCCTATCCAAAACAAAGCAAAGCATCAGACATGTTAAAGTGCAGTGACATTATCTGTAGGCCTTCCATAGGTGTGTGTGCGTGTGTGTGTGATTAAGATTATAATTTCTCTCATGTGTAATATATATGAGAGAAATCCACAATATATAGGATCTTAAGGATCATATACTGTGTAAAGGGGACCACCTTGTGCAAATTGGGGTTTGTAGCCAAGAAAAGCGAGGAAACAGATTTCAGTGATCAGGTAAACACACATATTCACTTCTTTGCCTCTGGATTCAGTATGACCATATATAGCACATAAAAAACACCCATGTGAGTCTACCGCCAGGATTTTAACATGTCTGCATTTTGAAATTAGCACTTTTTGTTTGAATACATTTACAATTAATTGCAGCAAATAATCATGGATAATATTTTTTTCTTGATATGAGCCATCTTGTTAAATTCTGTGAAAGACACTCACCCACAGGTTGATCTGCCCAGTCTTTGGATTATTTCCATGTACAAAAGAAAGGGCTAACGTGGTTAGAAGAACTCTAAAGCATGTTTAGAAGTCTGCAAGATAACACACTCCAAGAGTGAAGCCCTCCTACTGTAAAATGTCACAGCAGGAGGGTCTAGTAGGGAAGGACATGTTAAGAATCCTAATCTCTTACACAGGTGCCCAGTAATATGCCTTATTTCTGGCTGTAGCTGGTCATACATGATAGACAGGTGTAGGCATCTAATCTAAGAATAGATGGGTCCTTCAAAGAGATGGTTTAGAAGGCTTCTGTGCCCATCACTTCTTACTGCAAGATAATGTAAGCTCAAACTCTTGACTTGTCCAGGATATTTTGTTAAATTCTAGTTCTAAAGGGAAAATTTGAGGTTCTGGTCAATACAGTCGTTCAGTGCTCTTCCCTTCAGGTCAGTGCGCTGCACGTGAGTCCAGATTCTGTCCAGTGGCCACCCTTTTGTGCACTGTTCCTCGAGTCCTTTCTGCCTGTCGTCTTCATGGTAGCACCAGTAGCATCTTCCACGGTCTCCCTCTGGGAAACACCAGCTCCTCCCAATCCTCCAGCCCATTCGCTGTCTCTCTCAAGCTCCCTCTGTCTCCCATGTCTTCATTTTCGCACTGTAGTCCTGGGATTCCTTTGCTGACTCTCTTCTTCTCTTGACAGACCATTCTTGCTTCCAGTGGTGGATTATACTGCCTAAGCGGTGGCTGTAATGGCATTGTAAATATCAGCTGCATGCACTTGTTGTGGACTACTTTTTTCTTTCATATTTCCCTTTTTCCCTTCCCAGACCATTCCTTATTGCCGTGTCCTGCAGTGTTAGTGTGGATTGCATGAGACTGATGCAAAAAGTGAGTCTTCAGAGATGCCGCCATAGGAGCCGGGGTTGGGGAGTTGTGCGAACCTCTAGGAAAGATGCCGGTGCTGGGAGGGAGCAAGCCTAGAGGCTTATCCATGCAGCAGCTTCTTGAAGTTTTAATTTAGTGCTTTAACGTCCTCCAAGAAGCAACGAAATCTCATAGCAAGAATCCTTTGATTGAAACAGTACCTTGCTTCTAGCCACGTCGTGGAAAGCTTAGGGTGTATCTACACTGTAAGCATCTATTGGTTTCAGGTGAACTTAATAGCTGTGGCTTCCCCCAAAGAATTCTAGGATTCATAGTTTGGTGATGCTGCTCAGAATTCTGTTAGGGACCCCTAAGTCCTCTCACAGAATTGTGGTTCCTTGGGGGAAGAGGCCTGTGATATGCATATCCTGCCATCCTCACTCAAGCAGTCATTGATACTCTTCCTTTGTTTGAACTGCCAGGGACAGATTGGAATCTACTATAGTCCCAGCACCTCATGTGTGTGTGTGTGTGTGATTACAGGGAGTGGAATGTATCAAATTGATTTTGTGTACTTTTAAAGACTCCGGTATGGTTGCAGTTCAGCTGCAGACTTCCATTAATGGTGTATACCTTGCTTCAGGGGAAGGCAGCAAAGATGTAATCAGTTATTCACTTTTTAAACACTCTGATTTTTACAGCAGAATCCTGGATCTATAATTTAGAGAGCAAGAAAAGGTTTTTTCCATACTAGGATCTTAATGACCACATCGACACTGCTGTAAATCTGAGAGCTGGACGTGCAGTAGGTGCAACCTGATATACAACTTCCCCTCTTGTGCTGCTGGTCCCTAAGGTGACCAGAGTATTAGAGTCTAATTGCTTTTTAACATGAACATCTTATCTTGGGACAGTGCATTCCATGATCATGCTGGCTGTAACAACAGGCTGAGAATCAGCATCTGTAGGAACTTTTTGAAGACCGAGGAACAATATTCAGGCCCTAATTCTTCATGCACTGTGCTACTTCATCTTCTGTTCCGCATGTGGGTGAGGCTGATTTCCCCAGACAGAAGAGTGAATGTTACATTGCAGGGCTGGAGCATATAAAAGTGGTGTCTTGCTTTGCAGTGCTTCTCCACTACCCATTAATTGCAGAAATACTGAAACACATACAAAAAGCCACGGTGGTAGAAGTACCCAAAGATATCAGCCATGAGAAAGGAGCTCCCAACTCTTTCAGTATCCTCACAGCAGATCGATAAGGGCATTTGTAATTCATATGCAAAGCAGCTGTGTCCCTCAAGTCTTCTGACCTAGCTTTCAATATATATGCTATGAAAATGGCATTGTCTTCATGATGGCTGATAAAGAACATCTGGTCATTGTAATACTTAAAAGACTTCAAATCAATCCATTATTGGTCTTCATCTATCATCATCCACTTCCCCCACCCTCAATAAAGATGACAGCCTAGATAAGAAGTCATTTTGACCTAGGCCGACCAAAGTAAAAGAAATCTGAATATTATTCATAGACTGCAAGAATATATCACATTCTTTATATATTCTGCAGAACCTATGAAATGCATTGTTGCACAGGGCTTCCAGCACTCAGCTTTTGATGTCAAATTTCTAATACTGTTCTGGTGACACTTTTATTGTTGCACCAAAAGAACAGTTGTGCAAAGCAGATAATTGTCCATGCAATTGTCAGGTTTTTATTTTTCCCCGTTCTGCTAACAAGGGCATCATTTAAAGTCTAGCACATGGTTCTTCTATTCCTGCCTGAGCCTGCAGACCCATTCTGTATTGCATCTATTACAGAAGAAGATTCAGCAAGAGTGGAAAATCCTATAGCCACTAGATAAAAAATGGATCACTGAATGAAGCTTTTACTATCTGCAGAAACATATCCATGGATCACTTTTGTAATGGATGTGTGCTATTGCACAAATGACCCATGAGAACTGCTTTACTAACATGTCATGGGACAGAGTGGTGTCATTGTGCCAACATGCGCATGATCTTAGGATTTGTACTACAACCTGCCATACCTTCCCCACAATGAATGGACTCTCCTAACTGTAATTTTTCTGAAGTTATTCTTAATACCTACACAAAGCTCCTAAGATTTCCTAAGGAGAGGTAAAGAGAGCTGGTTATAGTGGTTTCAACCCAGTTTGCCCTTGTAGCATAGATAAGATCTGTATGGCACCAGATCTTCCAATGCCACCTTATGCCTGATTTAAGAGGAACAGAAGGTGTCCTCTCATCCTTCCTTTCCCTTCCTTCCTGCCATGCTGGACCCATGACTTTGAATGGCTCAAGCCCATTCTTCATTTCAGTGAAGCCAGCTCTCCAATAGTTCTAGGGGGAAAGTGGTGCTTATCCAGGGAAGATTTGTTAGGTGTACAACTAGGAGGTTCTCTGTTGCAAACCTGAATATATTGGTGGTGGCATGACTCTTCTTCCTGTATCCCAAATCTTCAGCATGCAATCACCCGTGTAGTTTTATCCAGTCCCTTAGTTTAGCATGCCCTTAGGCCTGAGCCCTTGTTCTACATGTGCTAAACCATCACTGTGCTTATTGCCATGGGATATATTCACAGACTAAGCAGCCATTGCTCCAGGGGACCAGCAGTACTGGAGAGGCCATTTCACAGGTAACTGTCTGTCTGTCTGTCTATCTGTCTGCAATAAATGAATGTTACCCTTCAATGGAGCTTTAAGAGGATTACACAGAAATGTTAAAATAAGCAACTAAAATATTACAACATATTAAAAAGGAGGGAATTTTTCATTAAAAAGCCTTGGGAAATAAACATGTCTTTGCCTGACAAAGAAAAGATAATAACATTGATGGTGGATGATTCCCTCTTTGGGGATGGAATTCCATAAATAGGTCACTGCCAGTGAAAAGGGTCCCTCTCTTCTTGTCCCCTGCCTCACTTTAGATGGGAGGGGCACCTGGGGGCTCGCCTCCAAAGTGACCTCATAGTTGGGTAGATTAGCAAGTATGTACATGGAATTGTGTGCAGAATCTGACCAGAAGAAAAAGAAGTTCCTTAATACCGGCAAGATATGTTTCTACCTGCCAACAGCATTCTGAGGTAATAGAAAATTCTGCCCAGAGGCAGCCTAGCTGTTCCTCAGCCTAAGCAGATCAAAGAAGCGCCTTACTGCAGAAGCGAGATGGTCCCCCAGTGAGAAGGCTGAGTCCTGGAGCAGATATGCAGTATCATGCAAGAACCTTGGGGTTGCCAAAATGCAGAATTCAAAAAGGGTTTCTTTAGCCATAGCCTCACAACTAGCTCTTTCGAGGCAGCCAGGACCACCACCTCCCCTTTCAATGGTGTATTAATTCCCTCCTTGTCAATCCCCTCTGCTTGTAGTTAATGGCCCTGAAGGACAAGGGTCAAGAAGTCAAATGTCATGTTGCATCCCTGCAAGCACCTTGTCCACAACCTCTCGCAGTAATCACTGAAAGTCATCCTACAAAATAGGACTAGAGGGTGCACTGAACCTGTCTTCTGACCACTCTGTAGAACTTGCAGCAGTCAAGCTGTAAGTGATGTGAGCAATGATTCCCTTGAAGGGTCTAGCAAACAAAACGCCGGGTGGCCATTGTAGAATGAGAGCCAAGCCACCTGGAAAAGCTCTGCTGGACGACACCCTGGGGATGATATGGTGGTAAAGACACATTGTTTCTTCACTACCATCACTGCCACAGAGTAGGCATGGTATTGCACTCTTACCTGTGTTTGGTCACATTTGCACTGCGTTTTATAAGAAACCCACGGGCAAATAATATCTCTTTCCTTCACCTGCTTCATTCTCACTCACTGCTCTTTCCATAGCTTCCCGCAATAGATCCTGATGAAAGTGGCCGGGTCTCCATCACTTTCTTCCGACTTTTCCGTGTCCTACGGCTGGTAAAACTGCTGAGCCGAGGAGAGGGAATTAGGAATTTGCTGTGGACCTTTATCAAGTCCTTCCAGGTGAGTACCTCCCACTGGCTGGACAAGCTCCAGGTGAAGGCAAGATCCTAGCAAGGGGATAAGATTGTGTAAGACCAGACGAGTCCGACACTTTCTGACTCATTACTTTGCTGGAGCTATGTAGCATGCATGACCCTTGGGTTTTTCTGTGCTTTGACCCATAGGCACTTCCTCACGTGGCCTTGCTGATTGTGATGCTGTTCTTTATCTATGCTGTAATTGGGATGCAGGTAAGGATGCACAATCCCAGGTATATAAGAAAGGCTGCTTGGAGATCCCAGGGAAGGGTCATAGACCATACTGACATTCCCTTCCTTGGAAGCCTTGCTCACTCACTCTTATACTTTCAATCCTTCTCATCTCAGGGTCACAATTCACATAACTTGAAAGGTGTAGCAAACTATTACATCCCCACCACCACCACCACCACACACACCGTATTTTCTTAAAATTCTAAAATAAGCACAGGGGACCCAGTCTGGGTAAGGGCCTTGCCATGAGATGGTAGTAGTAAGCAAGGTTTACAGCTTTGTTCCCATTACAGTCCCAGTCTGGACTGGGCTCCTGCATCTGCAATTCATATTGCCCAGATGTGATCATGTTAGCAAAAACGGTTTCTGATCTGGCTCAGGACCACAAATGTTAAAGCTTTGTTTGGCAACGTAATTTGCAGGTATGGCTGGCCAAGTTACAGAGTGAATATTGTGCCCATTCACAGAACCCAAAATATGGCAAGCAACCGAGGGCCAAACTATACATAACTTCAATGTAACCTGTAACTTCTCTTCTTTTTGTAGAAAGTGTAAGGGGTCCAATCTGGATCAGGACCTTTGTATGGCAGACATGTTAGGGGAGCTTTAACCCTTCTCCCCCATACTCAGCTCCAGTCTAGATCACACACATCCTATGTACACCTGCTATTAATATTGCCAAAAAGTGATCCTTGCAGGGGGCCAAGTCTGGCTTGGGGCCACCATGTGTGAGGGTGCAGCTTTCCTACCACCTCACTAGGTTCCTAGCCAGATAATTATTTGCCCTGATTCAGCAGCACTTTGACTTTAATGGGACTTAATTTCTATTTAGTGGGATTAACGATTGCACCTACATTTATTTAATTTCCTTTGCGGGCAGAGGGTGGGAACCCAAAGGATCAGAGATAATGAATGCTTTTAATGAGGCTTTTATTGCTTAATTGCCCTGCCTTGAATATGGAATTTTACACCAGTCTAGACTTCATCATCTTCTGTTTGTAATCCCCACCCCCACCCCGCCCCATGTTTTCCCATCCCTTCTGGCTTTGTTCTTACCATTAGGAGTGTGGTTACTCGGAGAAGGGCTTTCTCAGCGGTGGCGCCTAAGTTATGGAATGCGCTCCCCAGAGAGGTCCGCCTGGCGCCGTCGTTATTTGTTTTTCGGCGCCAGGCTAAGACCTTTTTATTTAAGCAACATTTTAAATGCTAAATACAATTGAATTTTATCTGGCCAGGGCGGCTTATTTTATAATGTGAGTTTTAATCAAGATTATTTTATATGGATTTTAACTTGTTTTATCTATGTTGTAAGCCGCCCCGAGGCTTCGGCGAATGGGGCGGCATAAAAATGTTTTAATAAATAAATAAATAAATAAATACCACAGTCTGCTTAGGAGGGAGAGATGGAATAGCTGCACCATGGCAGTGTCAAGAACTTCCTATTTGGAAGCACCTAAGCTGTAGTAAAATGGATCCAAAGAGCACATATTTATCAGAGTAATGCCTAAGAGCAAATGAATCCTATAACAATATTGAGTTCCTGCAGATGATGGATAAACCTTCTATTTTACAGATGTTTGGGAAAATTGCTCTGGTGGATGGAACCCAAATAAATCGGAACAACAACTTCCAAACCTTCCCACAAGCAGTGTTGCTGCTGTTCAGGTCTGTATCGTTTCAGCCCATTCCTGAGTTGTGACCACATCCCCAGGAAAGGAAATAAGAACATAAGAAAACCTCGCTGGGTCAGCTCGGTGGGCCATCCGGCCCAGCACTCTGCTCACTCAGTGGCAGATCAGCTGCCTACAGGATCCCACAAGCAGGATAGGAGTGTGACTGCACCTTCCTGCCCAAGTTCCACAGCAACTGGGGCACATAGGTATATGGCCTCCAATCCTGGAATGCAGCCCCAGCCCTGCAAGCAGAAAACTGCCCTCAGTCAAGTTGGACATGGGGCCGCCCTTCATTACCCCCCAGCCTGGGGATGTTCTCCTTGCTCAGTGCCATATGTCGCTCTTTCTAGTATTGCTAAGGGAAAGCCAGGCTCATAGTCCACTGGGTATGACTAAATCATACTATAAATTTGTACCATAAAAGTGCTCTGGTTGGCTTCGTAGTTATGATGGAACAACATGGTCACAAGTAATGGGTGACTATAACACGCTCTGCTTGCCGCTGCCCTTGAGAATGGCACAGAAGTTGCGGCTAGTGCAGATTGCCATGGCTCAATTGCCATAGGGAGCAGAGAGAAACCACGCATCGCTTTTAAAGCAGCAGTGCTCGCTGCCAGTATGGCTCCCAGTCTGAGTTCAAAGGGTTGGTCGTGATGCTAAAAGACAGCCTGAAATCTTGTGATTTGAGGGAGGACTGTTTTTATTTGCTTGCTCGGATTATTATACTGTTTTTGTATTGTTGTGCTTTTATTTACATAGTTTTTATTATTGTGCCCTATCTATTGACAGAGAGTGAGTTGGAAATATTTTAAATAAATAAATAAATAAAATTCCCAGCACACCATCTGTCTGGAGATGAGTTAAGCCCTGGAGCAGATACGGTGCTTCATGGCCCTTTGTGAAAACGCCTTCCTTCCTTCCTGCCAGCAACCCAGAAATGAACGTTTTAAAAAATGGAGAAGGCAGCTTGTTACAATATATGGGACTAAGCTCCAAGAATCCGGGTCTCTATCCCTTTTCCAGACCAGGATATGTCCTCTGACTGCTTAATGCATTCTGGAAAGGGAGCCCTCTTTCACTCCAGCCCTGTCTCCAGGTGTGCAACCGGTGAGGCCTGGCAGGAGATCCTACTGGCTGCCAGTTATGGGAAGCTGTGTGACCCTGAGTCTGACTATGCTCCTGGGGAAGAATACACTTGTGGGACAGGCTTTGCTTACTTCTACTTCATCAGCTTCTACATGCTATGTGCATTCCTGGTATGTTCCTTTTTTGCTCTCCTACCTGTGCTTATTTCCTGGACAATGAGCACACACCTGCAGCTTACTGATAGCTTGTCATCATCATCTTCCTAGAAGTGAGGAAGAGCTCATTCACCCCGTTCATTTTAAAAGGTGCACCCAGAAGCTCACCCTTTCCACACTTCTGCTCTCCATGTCAGTTGCTCCAGGCACTTCTCTGCAAATGCTATCAAGAGCTGGAAGGCAACATAGATTGCTTTTCCTCTTAGGCTTTATTTCTATCACACAAGACTTGGCAAATGTGCTGCCTCTGGAAACTCCAGGAGGCAGTGGTTTAAAGAACTGTCCCAAGCCAGTTAAGGCAAGAAACAGAAGGCTGCTCGGAGCTTTGAAGGTTATTGGAAAGAGGAACCTGCTGCTTGTGATGGGCACTCTTATCTCACAGTCACCTGTAGTCAAGTAGCTGTTGCAAGTTTTTGTACCATTTCAAAAACTCATTTCATCAGAGGACAAAAGAAATGAAGGTTGGCTGTTGATTTCATACATTTCTTAGGTGCCTTTCAAGACTGCAGTCTCTCTGAAACAAGGTCTTTCTCAGACCCCTTTTTTACTCTTTGGTTTGTTTAAAGTCATCATTTTCTCCAGGCCCATCCTTGCTCCTCACAGACCTGATGTCATTCTCACTGATGGCAGACTCTTATGGCGCCTCCATAAATTGGTGTTAGGAGCTACTGCTCGCCAATCTCCAGACCTTAGGAGGTTCATTCTTCACTCTAATGAAAACATTCACATGAATCAATAGACTGCAATTCTATCAGGACTTTCAACCATAGATAGGTAGGCAATGGGTATCGAGACAAACGAATTGCCCTCCGTTTTGAAAGGCAAGAAGAAGCTGTTCTGCACAACATTGCAGAATGCCTATAACATGCTTCACCTCCCTCTTTGGAAGTTGCCTGAACTTCTAAAATTATTTAAACACATCTGTAGGCATTAGAAATGCTTGATACTGTGTCTTATTTTCTAAGAAAAACAGGCAGCTGCTTTTTAAAGTCCAGAGAAGTGTTTGCTGCCATGAGATCCTGATGCCAAACTAACAACCCCTTGCTTATGCTTCCTTTGGTTACATATGGGTTGTTATGTAGGTTGTATAGCTGACTTCACTCCAGTGGAAGCTTCCGCACCATTATTCTCTGCCACCTTTCACTGAGGTTGTGCCATTACATCTCTCCTTAGATTATCAATCTTTTTGTTGCTGTCATCATGGATAACTTTGACTACCTCACACGGGATTGGTCCATACTGGGTCCACATCACTTGGATGAATTCAAAAGAATCTGGGCAGAATATGATCCTGAAGCCAAGTGAGAACCTTTTTGTTATGAGGCTTGTAATGATTAATGACCACAAAATGCTCAGTGCTACATTAGCCCTTGGAACATGCTTAAGAACAAGGTTGTAGATATTTATCTACAACAACCTTCCTCAACCTGATGCCCTGAAGATATTGGACTAACTTCCATCACCCTTGACCCTTTACCATCAGTCATGCTGGCTAGATCTGATGGGAGTTGTAGTCCAAGGCATCTGCAGGGCACTAGGATGAGGAAGGCTGGTGCATAGAAGAGGAATCATCAGTATGAACTTTTCTCTTTGTCTTCATTTTTTATCAGATGCTTCACTCCTTGTATAAAATTCTGATCCTAAGTACTTACTTGTAATTCCCGTAGATGTATTTGAAAGCATGTTTATAATAGGGACAGAGGGCTATTTTTCCCACTCCTGCTGAAGTCACTGTTGGCTTTGTTAACAGTTGTCTGTTAAAAAGGGGCAAATATACTCATGTATGATACTTCTAGGAATTTCTTCTCAAGCTATGGCAGGATATACTTACATTACTAACATTTCTGAGGGCTCAGCATCCTCGTGGATATCAGGTGGGAAGGGAGTTTCCAAAGATTCAGCATCATCTGTTTACCTGAGCACAGATTAGCACCCTTTGGCAGTGTCATGCATTTGATTCTTTAACAGAAAATGCAGCAATTCCTTGTGGGAGCTGATAGTTTTCATCTATTTGCAAATGTGCATCATGCAGTTCCCTGCACAAAGGAGTCAAAACTGGCCGTGGTGGCAAACCTGCATTTTTTTCCCCAGTGCAATATATGAGGCAATGTAAGTAAATGACTAGATGGCACATCTAGTTCTCCCTGCATATATGACTACATGCAGAGGTTTAGAGCTGTCTGGGTCCTTGCCTATCCACAAGTCTGGGAGGGAATTGAGACCTCACATAGACTGCATGGATGGCTTTCCATTTTTGGTGAGCTGCAAGGGAAAAGTACTTGCTTCCTTTGGGACTGTTTCATGACAGGTACTTTTAATTTTACACTGAAGGTGGAGGGAGGAGGAGAATTGTTTAGTTTTTGCACTTGTGAACCAAAATTCTACATCTTTCAAATTTTGCAAACCAAAATTTGCAATTCTCCAATTCAAAAACAGATGCATGTATAAAAGGAAAGCCTATGTGCATAATAGTGAAAACATTCAGTATGCATTATATGAAGGTAATTGCTTGCAGAAATCTGTATATTAGGTAAAATTGTGTACAAAACATGTGCACTGAGGAGATGCGTGCAAAATGCACATGCTTTTTCATGCAAAACTTTAAAAATCTTAGAGTTAGTAAGGAAATAATCTGAATATCATTTTGTTTCAGTTTCTAATTTTTCCCAAAACTGACAGATTTGTTGCCCCCACTTGTACAGATCAAAAACATGAGCAGGTGTTATGGGTATGTTCAGTGAGGTAAAAAGAATGAGCATCTTCAGCTGCCAGAGTTGGAGTTTGATTTCTGCATCAAATGGATAAAGCAGGACTGTCTCTTCCTCTTTCTCAGGGGCCGCATCAAACATCTAGATGTGGTGACTCTCTTGAGACGAATCCAGCCTCCTCTGGGCTTTGGAAAGTTTTGTCCACACCGTGTGGCTTGTAAGGTAACAGTCATCAGGAAAGGTTTCCTTATCAATCCCAAGTAGGGTTCATTGCCTGACCTGCCCCCATTCCTGTCCACTACATGAAATGGTGTCACAATCCCCACTGCAATGGAACATATCAACGTTTGAAAAGATGTAGAAAGGAAGGGCTGCTGCTATTGCTGTTACCTGGTGTCAAAGGGCAAGATGCTGGAATGAGTATCACAGGTGGGGGTACCTGGGTGTGCTCTGATGTGTGCTTAAGTGTGTGTGTGTGTGTGTGTGTGTGTGTGTGTAGATCAAAGGTGGGCAACTTGTGGCCTAGGGCTACATGTGGCCCTTGGCCCAATTTTAAAAGCCCTCTGCATGTAGTCAGTTCAGATCCTTGGCAAGAGCGATTTCTCACTAACCTGGCAGCCTGCTGAATGGAAAGAGGGATGGAGAGTAAATGGAGGGTGACAGAAGAGGAAAAAAAGGGGTGACCCTCCCAGTTTTGGCTGTGGCCTTGCTCAGCAGTGACTTTGGCTGCACCCACCACTGACTGTGCCTTCCAAAAGATTACCTGTGGGGGAATGCAGCCCTCAACAGAGAAATGGTTGTCCGTGCTTGATATAGATCAGAAAGTAGGTGGATGGGCACGATGGATATAGTTAGATGATAGGTGGATATGGATGATGATGATGATGATATAACGTTTTCTTTTTCATGTGCTATTGTGTTTGTTTTACAGCGCCTGGTGGGTATGAATATGCCCCTAAATAGTGATGGCACCGTCACATTTAATGCTACACTCTTTGCTCTAGTGAGAACAGCTCTCAAGATCAAGACAGAAGGTGAGAGATGAAACCTACCAGTGGTTATATTCCAAATAACTCCATTATACTCCCATGTAGCCTCTATTATTCATCTTCTGAGTCCTAAGAAACATTAGTCACTTTATATGCCAGTGGAAGCTCTACTGACCTCAAAATCCATTACTGCACGATTACATGGGCCCAACAGAAGAAGCTATAAATCAATAGTAACTAATGCCTTTCTAGTGCATTTAATCACAAGACCTCAGCAGGTCAGGTCCTCATCTGTTGTTTATTAGCATAAGTAGCTTCAGCATGAGCCGTGCCAAGATGCAGCTCCTGGCATACTGGTGGCTTACAGACTAAGCCTTAACAAAAGGCAAATGTTCAGAACATTGGCCATTCGAGGTCCAATAAAGATTAAAATACTTAGCCGTGGAGGCTACCTTGCCCATGCTGGCTGGGGATAATTGGATGTGTAGTCCAGCCCATATGCAAGACACTACACTGGGGAAGGCTGATGTAGGCTCTATCATAATAAATTCTTTGTTATTATTATTACTACTAGTAATAGTTCTGCAATGGCTACTAGTAAATGTAGACCTGGTTTTTATGCAACATCAGGCCACCATGGCTGAATTTCTCCACTGGCGTTGCTGTTTTGCATTTTAAAAATGCAAGCCCTGTTTTGGGCACACCCCAGATTGTCCTTACATGTCAAGCTGGCCAGGGTGGGTTTTCTGGGTGATGAAGAAACCAGCATCCAGTACTGGGTACTGTTTAAGATTGTGGGTGGTCTGCTAACTACCCCAACAACTCACCCTATCCACAGGGCAATCATCCCAGAGCAGCTTGCTGTCACCTGCAGATTGCCTAATGGGTAAATGTTGTGTATCCCTTGAATTTCTCCAAACAAGACTAGAAAGGATATATTGTTACTGTAGGTAGCAAACAACACACTTAAAAAAAGCAATCAACATGAAAACAATAGCCCTAATTAAAACTACTAAATGAAACCCTAACTTCCAACCCAGGACACAAAACATTTGCGTACCAGCAATGTGTAGCAAATGCTATGCATACACATGGCCTGCAACTGGGTATAAGGGTTCCTTAAATGTAATACCAGCTAGAAGGAGGGCCTAAGTACAGAGCAAGCCTGTTGCAGCGGCCTTCACAGGGTTTGTTTAAATGCACACTCAAAGGTAGCCACTCCCAGGAGTAAAACAAGTCTCCAGTTAATGGCCACAGAATAGTGATGTCACACTGTGGTATGTGAAAAGGCAGGGGAATGAAGACAAAATGATGCAATTTTGTTATAAAATCCAATGTTGACATATTAATTGCGATGAGCTGGGCATGAGTAGTTGCTGATGACTGATGAGAAGTGGAAGGAAGAGAGGAAAAAATGATTGTGGCTGATCTGTTGACATCATGGGTCATGCAAGGAGGGGCTGTAGCTTGATGCTGGAGCAGATGCTTTGCACGAAGAAGGCCTTGGGTGGAATCTGGGCTTCTTCCAGTAAAAGGGCTCTCAGGTAGCAGGCTACACAAGACCTCTGCTTGAGTCCATAGGAAGCTTTAGATGATGCTGGATAAATGGGACAAATGATCCAGCTCCACAGAAGGCAATTTCATAGGACTGGTTGGTGCTTTTCTAGGTAATTTTGAGCAAGCCAATGAAGAGCTGAGAATGATTATCAAAAAAATCTGGAAGAGAACAAGCATGAAGCTCTTGGATCAAGTGATTCCACCAATTGGAGGTGAGTCCTCCATTTGGCAACCCAGAGAGAATGCCTGATTATTCTTCTTCCTAGAGTTATACAGGCCTCCTATCACAAATCTTTGCGTGTTCCCAAGCAGCCTGGGACATGCAGGCTGCCCAGTTTCTGAGCAAACATAATGTTTCACCTGTGTGTACACCTCTAGATGATGAAGTAACCGTGGGCAAGTTCTATGCTACCTTCCTCATCCAGGAGCACTTCAGAAAATTCATGAAGCGTCAGGAAGAGTATTATGGATACCGGCCCAAAAAGAATGCCATTGAAATCCAAGTAAGTGGCAAATGAAGCTGAAGAATCCTGTAAGTTTTCCCCTGGTCCTAAGAACAGAAAGGTTTTTTAAATTATTTTCAATCCATACTGGAGTGAAGAAGGATGAAAGCAAGCCAACAAAGTTACCCAGGATTTGTTATTGATCAGAGTATGTTTTAACCCTTGAGTCCTGATTCATTATTAATAGAAATTCAGAAATTTACCTTTTAGGTCAGTGCCATTTTAGCACCATGCTTATGCCTCTCCCACACCATTCCTTTAATTTTTGCTAAAACATCCTTTTATCTTTCTTTAAAAAGTAAAAATTATTAAAGCTTTAATAATTATTAAAAATTATTACTTGGCACAAATTTTAAAAGTGATTGGAAAAAAAATAACATTATTAAGACAGAATTGCTTGCACGAATGTTTCTAATCCACCCCACAGCAATGTTGCACCCACTTGTATCAAGAACATAGCAAGATGCACACACACACAAAGTCCTGCAACACTGAAGCATAGCAAGTCAGTTGCTGTGCTGTATTTAGCATCCAGCAGAAGTTCTGCTGGGTGCCGTGAGAAGTTAGTCCAGAAATGCTTCTTGTTCTTACATAAGACTGATCTGCTTGAGCACTGGTTTGTCTCCTGTGAGAAGCTGGCATGGTGATACCTGTGCAAAGTCTGAGAATATGAGCTTAACCTCCAAGTTTATCTAAACACCTTGAAACGAGGTGTGTTGACTCGCCTCCTTATTCGACTCTTCTGCTCCATTCTTTTCCCAACTCCGTGTGAATTGCCCCTGCCAATGACATGCACTTCCAGGCTGGCCTGAGGACCATCGAAGAGGAAGCTGCTCCTGAGATCAAAAGAGCAATCTCTGGGGATCTGACAGCAGAGGAGGAGCTTGAGAGAGCCATGGTAGAGGCAGCCATGGAAGAAGGAATCTACAGGGTGAGTTCGAGTACTGAGGTCGTATTCACTGAATGCGCATCCCAAATGCCACCAACACCCAGCTGTGAACTTCAGCAGCCGGACTCATACCTGTGAATCACTTGCAATACTCCAACATACAAAGAGACCATTGTCCCCTGCATGCCTGCCCCACATGGAAGTATGGCTCCTCATCACCAAGAGCACAGTATTTTCTTGGCAGTGTGGGCAAAACGTTAACAAGCAGGGGAGCCTCACTACTGAACTGTGTATAATTTCTGTGCTGCTGTTGGCATTTTAGATACCTGGGAGCACATTTCTCATCATTGTGGAGGAGAGGGGTCTCTTTTTGTAAGGGTCTCTTCTGCGCGAAGTGATCTTTAAGTGCATCCCCAGTAGGGCAGATCATGGGACAGTTAAGCCATCCCATCCACCTGTCCCTCAAAGTGTGTGGGCATGTGCACACCTGCACGCACACACTTGCAGTTCTCTCTCTCTCTCTCTCTGCAGCCCTTTTTCTTTGGCCTACAGGGCTCAAAGGGGCCTAGTGAAAACCAGGGCAGCCCCATCGTGGGTTTCATTCCTTGGCCATGCTCAAGTGTGAGGAAGAGGCAACACCCAGGAACTGGTTCAATGCGAACACTGAGATGCTGCCATTAATGTCCCGATCTGCTGCAGCTCTGTATCAAGTGGCATTTGCAGCCTGGGAGAAGATTCCCAGAATGACAGATTGCAGAATAAGCTGTTCATGAGCCCTGTTCAGATGGGTGGGTTGTGCCGATATTGACTGGGAGCAATATTGATGTGATTTGATCTCGATTTGCATTGATTGATGTGTTCTGTAAACCATGCAGAATACTTGACTAGTAGGGAATATGAAAATGTCAGAAATGAGTCTTTTACTCCAACCCCTTCCTCTGAGGGAGTATGCTTTGTCTCTAAACTAACCCTGAAATATCCAGTCTTGAAGCTTGCAAGGCCTTTTAGCAGAGCAGGGGCGCTTTCAGCAGGGGTGCCTGGAATGCTGGGGAAGGCCCAGCCTCTGGGTCCACCACAGCCCAGCTGTTTGCCTTGGACTAACTGCTCTCCCTGCTCTGGCTTCCACAGGGAAGCAAACACTCCTTTGCACATCCACTCCCAGCTTTTCCCAGCCAGCCCCACAGAGCATTGTGTCTTAAAATATTTTTTTCAGTGTCTGGGGATCTCAGGATGAAGCCAGCTTTTATCAACACCCATTCTTCCATTAATTTGTCATCTTTATTTGTTTATGCTGTTCTTCCCCCAAGCAGGAAGGACAGCATAAATAAGATTGCTGCTCTCTTTTATTCTTACAACAGCCTTGTGAAGTAGGAAAGAGAGAGGGAGGGAGAGAGGGGGGAATTCAGTGTATTTCAGGGCTGTGTGAGGACTGGAGCATCTTACAGTAATAGAACAGACCATATATCTTTCTTTTTAGAACAGACCATTTATTTTTCTTTAGAAAAAAGCATCTGTGGAGGGGGCCCCAGTTGGTTCCTTCCCCTCCCAACAATTGCTCCCTAAACTATTTTACTTCTGGTTTGCTGGGGCATTCTGGGAGTTGCAGGGTACTAGACTGGGAAGGCCTCCTCCTCCATCCTCCAGTCTGAAACAAACCAAAGCCAAACCCAACCCAGCTCAAGGAAGACCAAAGTAACAGCCTCTTCTCTCTCCCCCTTGACCTCAGAGGACAGGGGGCTTGTTTGGACAGGTTGACAACTTCATGGAACCCAGCAGCCCCCTGCCACCCCATGTGGCCAGCCAGAGGCCTCTGCAATTCACTGAAGTGGGAAGCGAGGATCTGGATTCCCCTGTGTTCCTGGATGACTTCCCACCAGCAGGCAACACCAATGTGAATAACAGCAACAGCAATGTCAACAACAATGCAACGACACGGTAAAGTCCATGGGGGGAGCCAGGAATATGAATGGAGCACTCATGGCCAACAAACTGGAGAGCCAGATTCTGAGGATCATTCTGGCATGGATGATTAGCTGGGACCTGGCATGCAACTGGGAAATGGACAGAGCAACATTTCTGAACCCTAAGCTAGTTAAAGCTAGATCTATTACAAAGCCTTTGTCTGACAATCTTGGGCTGTTTTGGGGTGGGAGTCGGGGGATATCATTTAATCCAGCCTTCCCCAACCTTGTGCCTTCCAGAAGCATTTGAACCGCAACACCCAGAATTCCCAGTCAATGGCCCTGCTGGATGGGAATTCTGGGAGCTGTGGTCCAAATAAGTCTGAAGGTCACCAGGTTGTGGAATTAGTTTATACCACCCAGAGAACTTGGTGTGGGGCATATAGAAATAAATGAATCATCCTTAGGGAGGCAGGTGAACATTTTAACATGTTTGGGGAAAGAGAGTCTTGCTCATCAAGGCAAGGGCAGCAGCATAAAAGCAAAACAAAATAACCCACGCCTGAAACCTTTATTTCCTTTACAGATTCTTTTTGGGTTGGTTTGAAGTAGCCAGGAACAGAGGCAGTTAATGAGCCTCCCCTGCTCCTTTGCTCAGGATGCTGCTCTGCCATGAGGTAGATGCAATGCTGGGGAAGAAACAATGGCTCGGTAGGGAGTTCCTACTTTCCCCCACAAACAATGCATCAAGATAAGCCTGCACCATAAAACAGTGTTGCGATAAATATTGTGGGAAAACGTGACCAGCACATCTCTGTAAAAGGAAAGCTTAAAAAATGTTGCTAGCCTGACTTTACTGGTAAGGACCCACATCCTCCAAAGAATATTAAACTACCCCTGCATCCCTTAGTAAATGACACTGCAAATGCTCTTTTAGTTTTGAAGCATATGGATGGGACTGGGAAAGTGGGAGGAAATCCCTCCACCACTAATTAAAATGCCATGTTTCCCAGCCATCGCATCTCTGCTACCCACAGAAAGCTTGCAAAAACAAAGCAAAAAAGTCTCAGTCATTTTTGAAAGCTGCTGCGTGTTGGCCTCCCCAGGAAGAGAACCATGTCTCTGTACATATACTCACAGACCTAGGTTGGCAGATGGATAGTAACCCTGTACTCTATTCAGAATGCAGTGGGATGTATCATATAGGTGAGATACACAGTGCCCGAGTTGTTTCCTGTTTAATAAATCCTAGCTATCATCCTGAACTGCATCCAAATGATAGGGAGCCAGTATAGATTTTAGAGTCTGAGTATAGTGTCATACTCCCAATGCCTCGCTCCATCTGGACAGGAGCTAACACTGTGTGTTCAGCACCGCATGAAACATCTAGACTATCATAGTCCCATACAAAGTTCATGAAGCTAGCCTAGTTTTGAAAGAACAAAGGGATAAACAATGGCTGCTGGATCTTTGAATGGGAACAACAAAAGAGCTGCTTTGTTTCCAGCTTGGATCTTCTACAGAACCCTTCTGGACATTGTTGCATCCTAGAGTGCAGAGAAAGATGCAGGAGGAGGATGAAAGAAAACCACATAAAGCTTCTAGCCTGCCTGATCAGGATGAGGCCAGTAACATCAGTAACGAGGATCCTTCAGTATTCCCTTCAAGTCATATAATTTTTCAGTCGCTACTACAGTTTTGTCAGAATTCAGTCTGCGGTAGACAAAGGATCACCACAGACTTATGCGCAAGTGACATTCCTGTAGGGAATGCATAAATCCATGTTGATCCCATATGGATCAATCTGATGAGGACTGCATCATATACATCTATTTTACTGTGTGTGTGTGTGTGTCCACATTCACATACACACAGAGAGGAGAGCAGATGGCAAAATGGAAAATGATGGTCTGGGCAGTAATCCAGGATTGTTATGTCACTGAAAATCACAGTCTGAGATGTAAGAATGTGTGTAGTTATTTAAGACAGCAGATTTTCTTGGAATTAACCATCATGGCTTTGCTCCCTAGGATGACATATGAGGATGAACAGAATGGAGAATGCATGCTACCGCCTTCACATCAGTCATCCCGTGCAGGTGAGTCCTGGCCAAGGTGCTTCTCCCATTGGAAATTCATAATGCTATGAACAACAAAGGGATTTCCAGTGCAAGACTCATCTCACCATAGCTTCTGTCTATACCTGGTCTGATGTACTTGCTGGGTGGGATGGGCTGGGGTTAGCTCTTACTGTGATTAAAGGGTTTGCATAATTCAAATGTCTGCATATACTTTAGCCATTTTGTAGTTTAGTGAGAGCTCTAGCAATGACACCCTTTTGACCCCTGCACATCATAAAGATCTCCATGATTTGTCATGTCTCTTTCTCTCTCCCCAGCCTACACACACTCTGTCCAGCCTGAAAAACAACAAGAGCAAGTGAGCAAGCGGCCAGCATGTGGTGTCAATACTTGTTCAGAACTACAGTTTTCCATTCAGCAGGTAAACATAGATGAAGCCCCACTGCTGAATGCTGAATACCTCCCTTGCAGCAGGAGTGGAAAGAACTGCTCCAGCTGCCTTTTCAAGGCTGCCAAAGCAGGGAAAGGGGCATGCCAGGGAACAGGGCGGGGAGGAGGCCAGGGCCCACACTTCACACCATTTCCAAATGACACTGCACCTTCTTCCTTCTCCTCTGCAGATGGCTCTGTAGAGGAGACGTGGGGTGTGAGCTGTGCAAGGGAAGTTTGCAGCTGCTGTTCCTGGTCTTGTCCATTGGATGCACACAAGCCTCTGAATTTAGAGGCTTGTGTGCATCCAGGGTGAAGGGCAATTCAATTGCATCCTACATTTATCTACACTAGAACTTGGAAAAGCTGAACAGAGCTGTCATGGACAGGATATTTCATTCACAGGGTTGCCATAGGTCAAAGATGACTTGATGGCACATGAAAACAACAGATTGGGAAGGAAACCTCAGACCAAATTGTGCTTTCAGTGTCTCATAACTCTAACAGTGTTTAAGGCCATCTATTGTTGTTGTTACTATTATTTTGATTTTGAGCAGTTTAATGTATATATCTTCCGCACTAGAACCTTTTAGCATGGGAGAGGCTTTGTCTTCCAAATTCACTGGAAAAGAATTAGAATCAAGTTCCACTTTGCACTTAACACAACACCACATTATCTGCCAGTGTCATTTCTCTCATTGACTACAGAGCAAAAATGCATTCTTGGAACATGCATGTTTCAAAGTCTGCATATGCTTTAAAAATATTTTTCAAACTTGAGCACAATTTGGGGAATGTATGAGCATTTCTCATAAAGAAAGTGCTCTTGCTTGCATTTGTGTTTGCAAATACCATTTTTGCATGATTTGCAAACAGAAACTAAATTCTTCTATATGCCTAGATGGTGGATGCTAATGATAATTTCAAAGCTGTTTCGTTCACAGTGCAATGGGCTATTCTAATTTGTTGTTGTTGTTTTGGTGAACTGTCAGAAGAAACAGATTACCTTGCAAAACACCGTTTTGTTTGAAAGCAAAAACTGTTGTGGGGAGGAAAGTGCAGAATTGGAGCTTAACCATGCAATTATAAATAATTCCCACTGAGTTAATCAGGATGTACTCTTAAGTAAACATGCTTTAAAATGAATCAGCAAAATAAATTTTGTGAATTTCTGATAGAATCACGGTTTCTGGATAGCTCTAGAGTACTGTGAAGCTGGATGGTGAGGACAGGATGAGGGAACCGAAACTAGCCATGGAAGAAAAGGCACCCTGTCAACATGAGTGAGAGCAGAAACCGGTTATGGATCCTGAGTTGTAGCCAAGCATACAGGGTGGAAGCAGCAAAGAGATCTGTTCATATAATGCATGCAAGCCCTGGATTTAAATATGCAAGAGAAATGTGGGCTCCTTTCTGATCCTTCCCAGAACACATCTTAGGGCCAGTTTACACTGTCAGCATAATAGAGCTTTTCCTGGATATTACCGAATTGGGGAAGAAGTGGCCTCTTTAAATGTTTACCTGCTCATCTGTCCTACCTATGCCATCTCTATACACTACAAACCAACTTGTCAAGAGTTGGTGTGTGTAGCCTGTCCTTCCACTGAATGTTTTTATTCTCTAACTAAAGAGGGTGAGGGTGTGTGTGTGGATGTGTGCGCGCGTATGCACACGTGCTTGTGCCTCCCCTCTGTATTATTGGAGCTTTTCTCCTTTGCAATGAAGTGCTACATGAAAACTTTTAGCACTTGAGTCTGCTGATTATATAAATTGGCCCCTTACATTGGAAGGCACAAGCATTGCTTTTTCTTCCACAAGCCTCTCTTTGCTATAGAACCTCACACCATGCTATGAACTCCTATTAAGAATCTTTTTATCCCTTGCTGCCTTTTGTTAGCTTGGGACAGAAATAGAGTTTCTGCTTTGGAGGCCATATTTTTCTAAGAGCTCTGCTCCTGTTTTCCCAGCAGCTTTGAAAAAGGAAGAGATGTCTGAGTAGATAAAGGCCCGTGGCTCAAGTACACACTACATTAAATGTACATTATGTTAGTAATCCTAACCTTTTGTTTCACTTTGGTGTAAGAAAGTGTACTGCCCACCACCTCGGATTAGGACCATCACATGTGGGTTGGTGGGGACTGAACCTTCCTACCCATCCCCTCCACTGGCACCAACTGAGGGCTTTCCCCCATTGTAGGCCCCCAGTGTTTGTGGGTGTGAGGGGCAGAAGCAGCTGGGTGGAAAGATTTAAATCTCTTCTCCTGCATGGGGTGGTCCCAGTACAGAGTAGAGTTTGGAGTATTTACACTAAAGTCACATAAATCATGAGGGTCATGATGTGCTATGCATCTAACACGGTTGTACTTGAGGCTTCAGCTCTTTAACATGAAGTCTGACCAGATGTTCAAGTGCCCTTGAGGCTGAAGTAGAGCAAGGAGGCCTCTTTTGCCAATGACTAATGCTCCATTTCCATTTGCTCTAGGATCTGACCTCTGGGGGACGCGGCTCCCTAGCTACAGATTCCTTCCGGAAACTGGCAAGAGATGAGGTGGCTGCTGCATTCCAGGTGGAGGATGTTGCTGCCACATTGAAGAGAAGGGACAACTCAACTACATCTCTGTAAAGGGGTCACAGCATGGCCATTCCAAATACCCGACTATACGGTGTTGCCCCCAGTCTCCCCTGCACCCCCAGTAGTGCTGCTATATGGTGGTACCCATTTATCCACTCTCCAGTGGTTGCCATGGAAACAGTGCACTGCCTATTCACAGGGACCCCTGATTGGTTGCCAGCTGCAACATGGCAGAGAAGTGGAAGAGACGACAGACAGAAAAGTCCTTTCCTTGGCTGTCCAAAGGGAAGATTTTAGAAATGGGACTCTCAGGATGTTTACCCTGGTAGAACTGGGCTCTTCCACAGCAGGGTCTCAAGACCTTCACAAGATCTGTAACATGTAAGATAGATACAGTATTACATATTTCCAAGGTTCCTTCCTAGCTCACTCTGGCAAATATCTTGAAAAATGCCCTCTGATGATGCTGTTCTAAACAAAAAGTAACAATACACTTTTAATAAACAGAAAGACCCATGAATGTTTTTATTTATTGAAAGTATCATTTCTAGTCTGCTCTTCAGCAAAAGAAAAAACACTTTGAAGGGCAACTTAATAACATAAAATTTTAGCAATAGCATCAAAAACAAAATCTAACCATTGATTAGTACTGATTGACACATACTGAATACACAATCCAAAATCAAGTGCAAAGGTTTTTTACTGCCAGATTGTATAGAACTAACATATTGAAAGGCTTTTGTCTTGTACAAGGTATTTTCAGCTTAATAGCACTGAAATAGTGTATGTGGACACACGTGTTTTATTTTTTTGGCACTTTAGTGTATGGATTCATTCCTAAAGCTCCTGGAGTTACACAATAATCTCTTACAAGCATGATTACTGAAATCACAAAAAGCAATAACATGTGGTAAAATATCTCACACCTTAAAAGATTAATGGAAGCTTCCAAAATCAAATCAAAATACATAATTGCATAAGATGCTTTGGTGAGTCAGGAATTTTCTGAAATCCTGGCTTTTAGTGAAGTTGCAGGCATCTGATTCGTACTATATTTCAAGGGTTCTTAATCTGGATGTATTCATTACCCAGGTTCCTAAAGCAGAAATCTTTCATACTACAGGACACTCTGTGATTGTGAACAGCGGCTTAGATTGCCTCTCAGTGGGTCTCTGGGCTTGCTTGATGCATGGATGGAATAATGAAGAGGGAACTGTGTCACTTAATCGTGGAAGAAGCTGTGCACAAAGGATTTGAGATATCTTTGTCCAAAAATGTCGGCTAGTCATACTTCTGCTACTGAGGTGGCTGGAGCGTCCTAGGTCCAGCAATAGCAAGCACATGAATTCAGAACGGAAGAGCTAGACGACTAACACGCCTGAAAATGCATGATGCAATCCTGACCTAGAAAGTATCTCTGATTCTTGTTAAAGTTCCTTTGAAAGATAACATGACTCAGAACTGTACAGCTGCCGTAAGAGACTGACCCTACAGGGTTTGATTTGGGCTTATTCAATCTGCAGAAGGGGCCAGATTTCACCCAGTTAGCATCATAGCTGCTTGGGAATGATCTGAATGCAGGTTCTTCCCACTATTAGTCCAACATGCTATCCCACATATTCCACTAGCCTAGCCCTTTAAAGAGTCTGCCCTCAATCTGCCTGGTCTGTAACCATTTTGAGGAAGGGTATCTAATCCAGTGAGTTTTATTTATGTTTTTTTAATAGGGCTGCTAACTTGTTATCAGCCTTTAACAGAAGCTTGACCTGCAAGCATTTGTAACCAGCATTGTTCATCTCAGGGTCAAGAAAAGCTTCATCAACTGATTGTTTTGTGCAGGAAGTCAGTGTGGTAGAGTAGTTAGAGCAATGGACTTGGACTCAGAAGAGTCAGTTTCTTTGCCATGAAACACTGGGCCACTCACAAACTCTCCACTTAACAATTCCACAGGCTTGTTGTAGGGATAAAATGCAGGAGAGGAAAAAGACAGGGCATACGTGTAACAATACATGCACAAAGGAAGTAAATAAACAAACAGAAACTGGAAACAGCAGCTAATTCCTGTTACTGCTTTGAAGGCAACAGAAATTATCTTGGTACCCCTTCCCCTCCCAATACATGCTGTGTTTTAAGAATTCATTGTCAGCCTGACAGTCTCAGTAGCCAGCCCTTTCCAGAACTGGCTTCATCTCAGCGTTAATAGATATTAAAATGCAAGAAATTATGCATCCCCAGGGAGATGCTGAATCAATACAGGCTGGCTGCTCATGGGGTTTCTGTGTTAGCTCAAACAAGAGGGACAGATAAGGGGCTGCAGGGAAGCGATATACACAGTTACACCATTGTGAAAAGGGGGTTGGAGGGGGTTCACTCAAGTTGGTCAAAGGGAATCTCCCCTCTCTGGAGGCCAAACACTTATTAACAGCCAGCTTGGGCTACTGGAGCAGTGAGTAGCTCCATGCCCAGCTGCAAAAAGAATTGTTCCAGAGCCATGCGTTCAACTATGAATTAGTCAGGAAAGCAAGTGGATGCAGCAGCCGAGTAGGAAGATACGTTTTTCTTGTTCTCTTATTGCCAAGCATTGAACTACACCATCTTATCTGCTGAACTTGTACTGACAGTCATAATTTGGGGTTTGGTTTGGTTTTCTCCCTTTGTAGTTCCCCCCATCTTTCTTTGTTCCTCTTCACAATGCACACACATAAAGATCAGTAAAGGGATAATTTAGGAAAAAAGCAACATAATGAGGAACAGAAGCGGAGGCACTTGCTCAAAAAGGGAACTGTTCCCTGGCAAGCATTCTCCAGCCTGCTCTTTAAAGCAGCAAGATTTCAAGGGAAATTTTAATCAGGCCTCATTATAGTCATGGGACAGATGGGGATAAGCAGGAAGGCCTGAGGTTGCAAAAATAAATGCTGGACTCCCTGTTTAGCCCTGAGCCGCTGGCTTATACTGCCTTTGTCAGCAAGGAATGCCTTCTTTTCATGACAGTACACAACAGATATACATTAAAATAAGTGCAGTAGCATCTTTCAATCTTTCCCTTCTCTGAAATAAATTCTGTATTGCTTGTGTCTTTATTGGCTAAAATGTTTAAACCATAGCTGCTAATCCACATGGCCATTTTGACACCTGCTTCTTATGGCGTTGCCACTGTAGTTTTTGGCAGGGCTTCTGAATCTTCTAAACATTGCAAGGACTGAAGCTGAATGGGCTACTAATACAGGTGGAAATGAAATGTAGTGTCAGGAAACACTCTCTGTTGAATTTCTGCCTCCTCTCATCCTGTGGTGAAGAGATAGCAAAGGTCAATGCTAGCTATTTAATGTGTTACAGTAATGCTTTGCTTATCCTATCCCTCCCTTCAAAGAGTTCTGGACTTCACACTAGCCATAGCAGGCATGTGAAAGATGATGGTACACAGGGATGGACCAAATCTGTCAGTTTCGTTTTCTTCCACATTCATAATCACAAATTCTTTCCACTCCATTTATGAATACATTAACACATTTAGGCAAGGTTTATTAGAAAGCCAAACAAAAGGTTCTGCTTTGACCAAATCCAACCACTGGCCATGTTGAACCTGTTGGCCTATGAGGGAAAACAAGAGTTGAAAACCTTAATTCAGCACCATGACCATGGCTGAATGCACAAGCATTCAAACCCAGACTTTGAAGAACTAGGCACTCAAAGGCCTTTGCCTGGCTGAACAAATCTATCAGCTTTGTTTTCTTTTACATTTAAATTTTGTGTGAGGGCCAAGTGGAGCTTAGTGAAATCCAGCTCTCAAATGCCAATCCACAATCTACTAGGGATGTGCAATTTTTGTCCTACAACATCAGTCATAGTTCAGCCAATTGTGCAGGATCATGAGCTAAACATCTGGAGGACCACAAGTTGCCCACCCCTGCTAACACTTTCCCTTGCAGATCTTTTTCCTAGCATGGTCCAAAATAGCAGGAATGGGCATGTGTTTTGCAAATTAAAACTACTATACCAGAAAAACAACTTGAACGTAGTTTCTTATTCAACAGAAGCCTCCACATGTGGTCTGCATTCTGGAGACCTCAGGAACAAAGGAAGCTATGTCTATAGCCTTTTGTGCTCAAACAAGGTTTGGAAATAATTAATCGAAATGGAATCAGTTTCAATCCCTAATGACATATGAAAACAACTTTAAAATAATCCACCAACTTTACTGCTCTGCATCATTATTACTCCTTAAATCTGCTGTACTCCTAATAGCTAGTACAGCAGATTGTTTTGTTTGCATCTGAATCACCCTTTACCACTTTTACACTGCAGGTAAGACCTACAACAAAATGTTGCAGTATGTAGTTGTTCAGGATTACACTGCATTCCCATTTCATCCCCATCCCCAACAACAGCCAGCTGGCATTCAGTGCCCGCAGAACATGCTGTGTCTCAATGGGGTGTCTGGGGGCTCTTCCCCCTTAGAATTGTTTTACCTCTGCAAATATTGGGGTTTCCCTGAGATAAAACTCCCTCTTGTGAATGGATGGTGCCATATTGGCTACTTGCACTTGCAAAACTGATACAATAGTAAAGCAGAGGTGGACATGTCTTAGAAGAAAGAACCAATTCAACAAATCTCATTTGTATGTACAGGATAGTTCTCAATAATTGCCACTTATATTAAAACACTTACATTAAAAATGTGTTTAGGTTGAAGGTAAGGTTGGAAATGGACTATTCATTAAGTCAATTGATTAATCACTCAGCCACACTCATTCTGTCAAGGCAAATGATGATCAAATATCCTTTTATGACTTGTCAATGTCATTCCCTCCCCAAAGGCTGCCAAGTGATCCTTAAGGTCAATCACTTGGCAGAACAGATGTCCAGCATATTTGTGCAAGACCAACTTTGTAGCAGCAATTGGAAGACAAGCCAATACATAGTCCACTTAAGAGTATCTATTGAGAAGATACATGTTGACAAGTAGTTATCAGTAAGAGAGAAGAAAATGAGTTACTGCTCTGTCTCTTGTAATTTTTATTTTTCCTAGCTGTCAGTTAGTCAAAATTAAGCGCCGCAGAGAAAGGCATTCTTAAAACAGCCAGACAAGAGGTTAGTGCCTGTGCAATAAACATGAGGCATCCATCATCAGACTCTGCCCATCATAAAGCTAGTCCATATGAAACACTGGCCAGCTCTCCCTGCCTCACCATATATACATATACATACACACACATGCGTGCACACACAGAGAGAGCATGAGCACATTAACAACACTGCTGTTGAAAATTCAGATAAGGCTTCTGAGGCAGTGAATTTGTAATTGGAGGATGACAAAAGCATAAAATCTTAAGGTTCTTCTGCTAACATTTTCTGCTAAATCCAGGATCAAAAGGACATGACATTTAAGGCCAGTTGAGGTTTATGCAAATCATCTTTGCCTGTAAGTATCATATGTCACCTCCTTTAGAGTTAGTGTATCAGTCAAGGAGGACAATATAACTTGTAGTATTATAATCAGCACTACAGTGAGATTTAAAAACGGGAAAGGATACCTAGTTTTTGAGGATGTTCTGCCCACTGAGTGGAGCATAAAACCCACTAAGCAATATACTGAAATACCCAATATTTTTAAAATAAGGATTGAATCTATATGTAATCCATATGGAACTGATAGCAGTCAATGGCAGAACAATAATTTCATAAGGGGTTTGCTCACTACCTGATCCAAGAAATTAAGCACTAATGCATATTATTCAAGGATTAGGCTATCCAATAAGGCAGAGAAATCTCAAGAGATAGGTTCCTAGCAAGGAAGACATGACCCTGCAATTGAGCCATGATATCATGAAATTTTGCCAAAATTCCCAGAATCAGATTCACAGGTGACAGATTACCATATCAAGTAGATTTGTGGAAAGCTAAGTCTCATTTACTCCAACATCTACTTCTCAGGTTCTGCTACCATTACTGATTACCTTCCATCGCTCAGGATAACCAGAGATGCATTTTGGAGCAACACTTCTTGCCAGACAAATCTGTACCTTAAGTGTGCCATGACTGGAAGGCTTTCTTTCACTCCTGAAATAACTTTCCCATGCAAGGCACATTTTATCTCATAGTGTAAGAGTCTAGCTACTTCTGATCTCATCACAGACAAATATTTTGTGCTTTAAAGTAATTAGCTTACACAGTGGAAAGTGAAAAGTACACAAGTGTAGGCAAAGAGATAAATACACTTTAAAAACGTTCTTAAACTAACTCTGAGTGTTTATGTATTGAAATATTTGTACCTTCTTTTCAAGCCCTAGAGGGGTTTTTAAGGTAGCAAGCAAGCATAATTTTAAAAAATACATAAAAAAACAAATGTAAACAAAAATAAAAATAAAGCAACGTGAATATTTACAGCAGTCAAAAATAAACAAGATGTTGAAGAAACCAATTTCATACCTTTCAATAATTCAATAAACACCTTTCTTCAGGAAGTATTCTGAGCAATGTCTGAACCTGTCACTGAAAACGTAACAAAAAGGCTAGACAAACCAGCCTTAGGAACTTCAAAGTTCAGGCCCCTACCAAGAATGCTTCCTTGAGTGCTTGCTCACCACACCTCAGATCAAGGTGGGGCACAGAACAGGGCCTCCCCTGATGATCAACATATGCAAGAAGTGATCCATTTTTGAGTAGCTGAATTTTCTGGGTATTTTCCTAATGCAGGCCCATGTAGAATAGCCTAAACTGGAAACTGCACTAAGACCAGCCTTCTCTAAAAAAAGGTATGGCTGGCACACCAGCCTGAGCTATGCAAACATACTCCTAGCCAGATCCAGAAAAAATCCCTAGCTGATCTTTTAAGGTGAGTGCAACTCAATCCAAATTTGCTGAACGCTTACTCCTGGATCAGCCATTCTTAATTCTATTCTTAAAAAATTATCAGAACTAAGCTAAAACAATCCAGACATATTCCAGCTAAGGGGTTCAGGAGACCACAGCTGATAGCACATAAAGATATTAGCCATGGTCCAGCAAAAGTAACAGGGATGTATTTCCCATACTATCAACCAAGGCCGCCTCAGTCCTAAACCATCAGAAAGAACCATCTAAATAATCAAAATAATTAGCAAAATCCAAACATCTCCAGAGGTGCAATAATATCACATGCTCTAACACCCACCCAACTTGCTTTCTCTATGGGTTGCATACAATGTTAATCCAATTTAAAATCGCATACATTCTAGTTGGAGTACTCTAAGTGGGACTAACATTGGCTATAATCCTCCAGCTCCTTTAATCAGTCAGGGATCAAGCATAGATGCCAGAGCAGTCATCACTGATTAGTCCCATCTTGCTTCCAGGGTTTTTTCCCCAGAACAATGGTCCATCCTTGTCAGAATGGCTCACTCACTTACAGAACTACAGGCTGATCTCTATGGCCCCACAATCTCCAAGGGGTATCACATTTGGAGTCTTGCCCAAAATAATCAGCTCACGGTCAGAGGTAGTCCAACCCTACCTTTAGGCGTGGGGAGGTTCTGGCAGTGTGGGGTTGCCTGACGGGGACAGCAATACTGGAGTCTGCCCTGAGCGGCTCCAAGATCCAGCTGCCCGGGGCCGGTATCAGTGGTGCATCCTTCTAGGACAGGGAAAGCTCAGCAAATTGCCCGAGCATGTTCGCCCCAGTTACACACCTGTAACTTTTCTACAGGGTTTTCTGTCAGTCATCATTACAAAGAATCCATACTCAGATATGAAAGGGAAGTATTCGTTATTCATAAGGAGGCACACAAGAGCCAGCTGGCTAACGGTCCTCATAAATTGGCATTTCTGCAGCAAGTGCAACATTTCTCAAAGGCTGTGGCAGTCAGGAGGGTAGTGTTTAAATGCAGCCAATACACTTACCTGAAGGAAATTATTATAATGTCATAATCAGAAGTACACTGTCCAGAGCAACTAGCTTTTAATCCTTTGAGTAGTAGACATAAGTTTGAAGTAGTTTTGAGGACTTAGAAGCATCACTGCAGAACTCTTCCCCACACTCCCTTTCTGGGCAGAAAACAGACAAAAATGGGAAAACAGGAGGGCAACAAATTGCAGACAGCATCATGTGGACACACCCCTGCTCCCCTCTGAATATTCAACGAATGAGGGAGGCCCGGTAGCTATATAACAAAGGCCTCATCTGAAAACAGACTGATACTACAGCTGTGCAGAATGCAGGGAGCCCCTTGCCAAACCTCACTGAGTCACATTTCCAGGGCCCCCTTTGGATCCCTATCTCCATGACTCACCTGGCTGAGGTATATTTGAAACTTCCCACACAAGCAAACAAAGAAGGGAATGGGGGTAGGTTTCTCCTGGCCACTGGCCGTTGGGGGAAACCGGAGGGCATAAAAACGTCACTGATGGTTAATGCCCATTCACAGGACCTCACCTCTGTGAACCACGGATATTTCAGAACATGTTAGAGAGGGCCCTTTGTATTTACATAGCGGTACAGGAATATGCAAGTACTAGGGATGCAATATGGGCAGCTTGGCAGCAGGGGGCTCAGCCCCAAGTGTCTTAAAATTAGTAGTCTTACTACTTATGAGGCTTTAACGGAGCTCAAGTGTCCAAGCTCCGTTCTCAAGCTCCAAGAGTCTTAAAATTAGTAGTCTTACTAGGTTTTAACGGAGCTGTACTTGGGGGTGCCTGTAGTAAGAGCGGGGGCCTTTCCGAGTATCTTAAGAACGCGATCACTTCCTACTCAGAAGCCCCACTGAGTTACCCCAAATTCAGAGAGGCTTACTCCCAGGTACAAAGGAGTACCGCCTTCGTTTAAGAAAAGCGCAAGTAAGAACATTCCCATTACATGCTTTTTGCATCGCTCTCAAACAAAGGCATACAAGCCCTCTATTTCGCCTTATTCTGGCCGACTACTGCCACTCCCCCTCGTACCCATTCACATTTTTGTGGAAAGTATCATATTTAGCGTCCGCACATGGCCGTCGTGAAAATTTCGTTCATCAACCCCTCCCCCGGCCCGGTTCTTTTACACTATCTGTAAAGCGGCGGCTGGCTGTAATCCGCGAAAGGCAGCATTCTGCACATGCTTAAGGGAGCGGTTTTCTCAACTGCTGTCGCTTTACCGAAAGCAAAATCTTAAAACCAGCCTTGCCCTCGGTTAAACCTTTGGCCGCGCCCCTTCAGACAGCGAACGCCCCACGGCTTTCTTCCTCGTCTCCCACTTCCTTCTTTTTTCCTCCCACCGCCCCACATCTGACCGAGCGCACCCTCCGCCGTTTTCCTTGATCGCGGCGGCGGCGGCGGCGGCGGCGGGAGGGGGCGAGATCCCGACGCCCCTCCTTCCACATCCTTCCCCGCCTCCTGCGCCGAGCGGCTCGAGGCTCGCTGGCGGCGAGTGCCCCACCGACAGTCCCGCTACTGCACCGGGGCGGGCTGGATGGCAGGGAGCGCTGCTGCGTAGCCAGCTTCCCGCGTCTGTTGCTGCCGCCGCCGCCGCCGCCGCCGCCTCTCCCCAGGCAGGAAGAGACAGAGGCGGAGAGAGAGAGAGAGAGACGGCGCGGCCGTAGGAGCTCGGCATGCCCTCACTCGCCCCAGGCGGCCTCGGAGCCTCGTGCTCTTAGCCGAGCCGCAGCCTCGTCTTGACTCTGGACCCACGCCGGTGCTCCATGGTGGTTGAGGGGCAGCGCTCTGCTGCGGCGCGGGGAGGCGGCGGAGGAAGAAGAGGAGGAGGAGGAGGAGGGGACGGAGGGGGGTATGGCCGCCCAGGGAGACAGCTGCAGCGTCAAGGTGGCGGTGAGGTGAGATCCGGGAATCGCTTTTCATGGTGTGGGGAGGCGTCGGGGGCCAGGATTGTGTTTGCAGGTGAACGCAAAGGGCAGGCAGACAAAGGGATTTATTTCCGTTGCGCCTGTGCAGGCTCGGTCCATTCATTGAGATCTGTCGTGACCGGGGGAGGGGGGCGGCGGCGGCGGCGGAGGTCTGCAGTGGGTTTGGCTGGCTGGGGTGTTTGCAGCGATGCAAGGCTCTTGCGGGGTGCCGTGGGCATTTGGGAAGGGGAGGGGCTGCTTGGCTCTTCGGCCCTTGCAGTTGCAGACCCGCGTTTCGTTTTATGTGGCAACGTCGAATAGCTTTCCTTGGGGAGAGGCGTGTGTCCCCGTCCGCACGCAGGGGCGTGTGAGCTCTATTGCTTCTGCTAGAGATTGTATGCCTGTGACTCTCGCTCCTCTCCTCGCCACACAGACACACGCAGCGAGTATCAGTGGTATTCCTCTTTGTCCCTGCTGCAGGGGGTCACACACAGTACCTCCACTGTCCAGCTGCTGGACCGGCCTGCCTGTGTGTTTGTGCACATGTGACTAGTCACCTCTATGTATTGGTCACTGCCAGTCCAACCACCCCTTTCTCTCCCATCACACAGCCTCCCCCCCCCCCCATAGCCTGCCCCATGAGTTAAAGCCAAAATCCTTCCACAGGAAAATCCTTGTGTATTATTTTCCATAGGAGTCCATTTTGGGCTACTTCTGTAGGTACAGACAAGGTGGGGGTGCCCTTATTATCTGTCTGCCTATCTCGAAAAAAATGTAGGGCTGTTCCCTTTTTCTACATCTCGCAGCAACTGAAGCTGAAGAAACAAGGAAATCCTGCATTTCACGCATTTGCTCTGTGTTTTTCTGCCTTTCCTTTCACTTGTGTATGTACGAGTGCATGTGCACCACGTCTGTCTGTTATTGATATTTCTGATAAATGCACTGCTAAATCCATATGAGCTAGCAGATTACTTCCCCTTGTTTGGCACTTTTCTCCCTCCAACAATTCTGTTTTCTTTGGCTGGCAGTTCATTTTTCCTATACCATGTTTGTGTTTTAATCTGCCCTATGCAGGTGCCTGATATCCTTTGAACATCATCCTGTCATTTAGGGTGGGGTTGGGGGCAAATCTGTCTAGGCACTATGGCAAAGCTGCTTCATACCCATTTCTCCATCATCACCACTCTCTGTTTCTTGCCAAATGCTTTAGCTCTCTGATCGTTTTGTATGTTTGCAGGTAACGTCAAGTGTAAATACACTGCAGGTGCAATGTTCTTTTTGCCATTGCCTGAAGCCAGACAATTGTTCTGTGTTGCAGGGAAGGGTGGTGTTGGTGCTGAAGCACATTCTCCATGGTTCCTTGAATTTGCATTGATTAGTCATTGATGTAAGCAAACCCTTTGTGTGTGTGTGTGTGTGTGTGTGAGTGATTGAACAATTTTAATAAATATCTGCAAAGTGTGCCTAGTACTAACTGTGAACTCTGTGCAGGGAGAGTTGGCTTTCTTTGGTGCTGCCTTGCAATCTCATGGCAGTCCGCCTGTCATCCTGTGAGGTTACATAGCTTTGTTGAACAGGAATTGGGGAGCAGAGGAAGGCTTTGTCCAAAAAACACTAAGCTAGTGCTGAGACCAGGGACTGCCATTTTGGCAACACTTCGCTGCTTGTGGCAGAGTGGGAGGCACGCGCCATGCAAAATACAGCGTGATAGCAGTCATGTTGGATCCAGGTGAGATGCTGCTGCAAAAGTCCTCCTCTGGACTTGACACGAGAGCTGTCTAATGCCCCCTCATTTTGTACCTGAGATATCAGGGTGGCTTTAAGAACAAAAGAGGCATGGAAATGTGTAGCTTTGTACTGTTTGCATCATGTGTGGGAGGGTGCTGTTGTGACAAAGAAGCATGTGTGTGTGCAAGGCAAAAGCTGAAACCTCTTGCTGAGAGACCCCTAGTATTTCCCACCTAGCCGGCGTTGTCTAAAGAGCGTTCCACGATTGGCCTGGGAGCTGTGAAAACAGGATGGTTTTCCTGCCTCTCTTTCCTGCTCTCCACCCTTAGGTTGCTTTTGTGTGTCCACTGGCTCTCTGAGAGGCCTGGAAGTCAGGTGTAAAAGGCAAGAGAAAAGGCAGAAGGGAAAATAGTTTACAAACCCTGCTCTCTACCAAATCTGTGTTTTTCTGTAGGAGATTGGCCTGCTACAGGAGATTTTCACAGGTTGGGCCGATCAATCTGAATACGTATGTGTAAAATAACGAAACCAAGTTGGACCTCCAGTCCACCAGTTGTAGTGCTGAAAAATGAGTCCTCCTTTCCCTTTTCAGGGCAGTAGGGGATTGGACAACCTTTATTCTGTCCAAAGCCACTTTCACTTGGGGTAATCTCTCAGGGGCTGAAGCCACTGGTAGTGGAATCGGAGCCAAAAGTCACCAGGTCACACCATCTCTCTTCCTCTGCCACCCCTTTTCTCTTGCTTGCTCTCCTTACCAGCCCCTGCTCTCTCTCAGCACAGCATAGGAGGTGGCACAAACAGGGCAGAGAATGACATTATTTCTCTAGATATGCCTCCTCTTGGGAGGCCTTACTTATCAGCGTTGTTTGCATTTCCATCACATAAGGTCAGAATCTGGTCTTTAGGTTTTTAAAAATCCAGGTTTCTAGACCTTATGCTTCAATGAGCGCCTTAAACTTGTGTATTCTCAATTCAGGTAGGACAGAGCAGAATTTCCTCAGCTTCAGTTTCTCTTTCTTTCTCCTAAATTAAGCAGATATATGCAGGCTTGCTTAATTTGCATAACTGGGAGAGATTTTTTGACACAATCTATAATTTGACACAGGGGAGATAACTGAGAAAGAGGCAAGGGAAAAATGTATATTATATCAGTTATGTGTGCTTAGTTACAGCAGAGTATGGGGATTACTGAGTAGGGTCATGCCAAAAGCTTCATTAAGTTTTGTTTTAGCAAACTTTGTTCATGGTATGATAAGAGGTGGGCTGAGGTGAAATGAGGAAGCTAGCCAAAGAGAAGAGGTGTGAATTTGACGTGTTATAAAAAAAAGCAAAGCAGAGGATGTCTGTTTGTGTCTTTGACTGCTGCTCCCCACCCCCCGCCCATACTTTCTGGTTTTGTGTGCACAATTCTACTGTCAATATGCATGGCTCTCACCAGGATGGTAGCCGGAACGCATGCTCTCTAGCAGAAACTGCTTTTTCTTCTGCACTGTTGGCCATATTAGAAGCTAAAAGGAATGGCAGAGTAATGGGAAGGTGTTCATTTTAAGGGCAACTTGAGACTGCATCTTAGCCAAGCAATGTAGAAAATGCAACCATTTCTACCTCTTTCTGCCCCTCCAGGCCTTCTATTGGGATTGGTTGTAGAAAGGCCTAGTTCTCGATGTTCTAACAGTGTGTATAGATAGACAGATTTTTGTTGTGTCAGAGGAGGAGACAGTAGAAATAGTTCATGCTTGTTCTCCTAGTATCACTGAAAAATTTGGAAGAAAAGAATGGCTTGGATCATGACATATTCTGTAGTTTTAAAATTTTGTTACGGTCCCTCCTGTATTTGCAGTCTGGCCCCAATTTTTCCTGAAGCTCTTTGGTTTTGTTCCTTACTTTATTGGGAAAGTGAATTCAAGATCTCTGGCATCTTTTACTCCCTTGATAAAGCAGTAATAAATATATACAGTGTACTCCCATGACTGAGAATGAAGTCTTGATGCAATTTGACTAATGTTATCCATTGAATCCATTGGTTAGCTCTGATAACTTCCAAACGGCATTCAAGCAATCTGATGTAAGGAGTCCTGGGTTGAATGCTCACTGGCTTGCTTAAGTAAGGTAATGGAGCTACAAATATTTCTGAATGATTCTGAGAAACTTAGCCTGAAACTGCACAATCACGGAGTTGAATGTTAGTGATAAGTGGAAGGCTGAGTGAAAAGAAGAAAAGAATCCACTAGAAGAAAACAATCCACCCATGCTACCTTGGATGGATCGCTCTTCCTACCCATTCATTTATGTATGGGACTGTTGGGTCCCCATCGTCTTGTTCAGAGAAAACTGCACAAAGGTCTGGAAATCACCAAATAATTGGGGGTTGGGTGAGGCTGGGGAAGAGAGTGTAATAATTTAAGAATCTTGAAGTGGGACCCCAGGCTGAGACTCCCTCTGATCTAAAGGAAAGATTTGTCTGCATCCCACAGCAGCCCAGGGAAGGTTCTGAAAACCACAACCCTGTTGCTGAGAACTCCATCCAGGACCTGTAATGTTTAGAGCAACTTATTCCTTGAGCTGCTCTCTCCACCAGCACACAGAGAGTGGCCACTTTCTAGACTTTTCTGTGGAGCTGAGGAAACTCTTTGTATAAATGTTGGGAATAATCTCTGGTAGGCTACCATAGAAATTAGAGTTAGGTTGGTGAGACCTTTCTGCAGGCACGCTCTTTTCAGTGGGTTCCCAGGTTATTGTAACCAAGTCATATGCTCTCATCAGAAGTGTTCATCTTCATCCCACTCTGTATTCTTGACCATTGACAAGTATTGCAATATAAAAGGAAGGGGACCAAACAGCCATCCCATTGGTGCTGATTTAACATGTAAAGGCTTGCCAGCATGCGGGCAGAAGCAACTTTTTGAGTCATCTGGCTAGTTCCCCTCCCATTGGTCCCTGTGATGGGGTGGCAGATCTTGCTTGCAACATCACGACAAAACAAATGGAGTTAATGGAAGGAGGATTCCCACACTGTGTTGTAGCATAAAGGGTACCCTGCCATTCTTCTCCTTTATTTTTGCTTGATCACCCCTCTGTTTTGGCAGTGCCTTCTTTACTTAATGTCATCAGCACATTTTGTCAACAATTTTTTGCTTACTACCCGAAAGTTACTAAGAAAAACACTGAATTAAAACAGGGTTCTAGATTGATCCTTGAGAAAATTCCATCGTTAACTTTGCAATGTGAAGATTTTCCTTTTAACAAAACCCTTTCTCAGTTTT